ATCATGGCTTGTTGTTCAAGCAGCTCAGACGCTCTGAAAAGTTTCCCGTCCATCCCGCCTATTCCAAGCTTCTTTCTGGTGGGAACTGAAAAGAAAAAACCATGCCTTGTGAGGTATGGATGCTTCCACAAATTGCCAAGCCATCTGGAGTGTCCAAGGAAAGCATGCAGCAACTGACAGCAAGTGTTGTCGTTTCTCACTGGCAGCTTTGCTAGGAATGATACAGCCGCCACCTCTTGGATGTAGATGGACATAATCCGAAAGGATGCCCATCTCCCTCTCCTCTGGACTAGGTCTCCCGACTCAGTCATCTGCATGATGTAGGTCGCCGCTCCGCCTGGGCGGAGCGATCCTAGGTCTAATGGTCGCATGCCTGCGAAAAACCGGTCTGGTAATTGCAGTGCCTTGCAAACTGCTTTGAATCGTACTCTCAACGTCTGCGGGCTCAATGGCCACAAAAAAGCAGAGGGTGGCAGAGATCTGAATGCTAGTTCGCACACCGAAATGACGTCGGGGATGTCCACCTTAGCCGCCTGATGGCGGGCGGCGGAGAATCTCTTGGGCTCATTGATGGCCAACAAAATGAAAGGCGTAGTGCCACCTAAATCTGAAGGTAATTGAAGGTCCTGTCTTTTCGACTGGAAAATCTCGCCTGCTCGTAGGAGCCCTGCCCAGGCGAGAGCAAGACAACCAGCCACTCTGGCCCAACCCCAGGTCAGGCAGCATGTCACGCACGCGAGCAGCACCTGAGGTGGCATAGCCGTGTGGCGCTGACCTGACCCAGGAGTAGGCCAGGTCCCAGGACCCTTGGAGGACCCGCCTCAATTGAGGCTTCCAGCTGCTGATGGCGTTTATTGTCTCTGAGTAGTGCGCCAGTGGCCTGCCGGCCTTGTAAAGCTCTCTGCCGTACATGGAAAGTAAGCAGTTGATCTCTTCAACATGGTGATAAGTATCAGCAAAAAGTTCAGCAGCAATGACCCCTTTCCCCAGCAGCCAAACTCTGAACTTCTCCAGGAGAACTTCCCTCTGCTTTTCAGTGATTTTCAAGACTGGTCTTCCCTGAGGAAGCGGTTCCCTGCCTTGTCTCAGCGTCGCTCTCTTCCAGTCACCAGCATTTCTAGGCTCAACAGGCGCCGCCATGGCTACATTCGGCCCAACAGAATGGCTGCAAAAGTCCACGAAAGAGAGACACTGCCCGGCTCTTTGATGGGAAGGCCGACGAACAGGAGCAGACAGAAAAACTCCAGGGCTCTTGGCCCTTCACCTGGAAAGCCAAGGGTCTGATCGAATTCCATCGTGGGCTCACATTGACGTGCTGGGGGGAGGGACAGATAAGGACAGGCACGGAAAATATTCTTCTGCTTGAAGTAAATCACTTCCTTTCCACACACTATGAGCACGAGCCGAAACCAGTTGGCGGCCCAGCGCCTAAGTGCTTTGCAGCCTGCGAGCTGGTGCAGCTCACCAATGCTAAGATCTAAGGCCCTCGCACTCGATGTTCCCTGTCTGACCTCGACATCTCTGGTGGGATCATCAGCGGGATTGAGCCTGGTCGGGCAAAAAGGGAGGCAAAAATAGAGGCCTGCTGCTGTGCAAACTGCCCCAAATTTGCATATCACGGGGGTCAAGCCAAGTGATGACGAGCGCCCCTTTGATAAGGCACACCTGACCACGTTTGAGTCTACCAAGGACACGACCCTGAGAGGCTTCCTCAGCTTAGCGACATGTTCTGCTAACTTAAGTACCGATACGGATTCTTGGATGTTGATATGGGACGGCTTTCGAAAACTCCAGACCTTCTCTGTCTTCCAACTGGCCTCAAGAGCGGCCTGGTTGACCAAGATGTTTTCCAATCCAGCCGTATCAACTTCTCTCCAGAACTCATCACGCGCTTCGATCTCATCAATGGCACTACACAAAACCTCAGCGAGGGCTATGGCAAGCAGCCCAGTGTACATGGCGCTATCCTTAGTGTACTTCCCCTGCACCAGAAGATGTTTCTGTGTGCATTTGCATCGCTGTCGCACTCGAGCGAGGGGAGCCAAGACACTGAGGAAGGCAAAACTTTTTTGATGAGGCGACCCGAAACAACAGGAGTCGGTTCTGCAAAAATCGAATGCAGGTCTTTTTCTCAACACCTCATAGGGGGGCAAGGCCTTAAGCTTTGAAGAATAAGGTGTCTCTAGCCACCCTGGTACGCCAGCCCTTTCCCCTAGGTGTAAGCACTGCAGGCCCCGCAAAGCGAGCGAGGTACCTGTTCTTGTCTGCTCATGAGTGACGTCGAATCCATAAGGTTCTTGCTTTGACCTCAGAGCCGGACGGCGCATTACGGAAAAAGTGGTACATGGTGGCTCCACTGAAAAGGCCTTCACTAAACGGTTCGAAATAAGATGTGAGACCCATGACATTACATAGTGCCTAGTCATGTCATACTCTGGGCTGGCACTAAGATCAATGGGTTGACAAACTGTTCGGCCCCTATCCACCATTGCTGCGGTAATTTTCGCTGAGCCTGCAAACACTTCGACAAAATCGAACCTGTAGGCCAGTGGCCTTGAAGGTGCAAAGTTCAGTGCCCCCTCTTCTGCTTCCGACGGCCTTTCCTCAAAAACTGCATGTCTTTTGATTGCAACCTCAACTGGTGAGAGCAGCCTTGAGTAAGCCCCTTTGGACTTGGTGGTCTTCCACAACACCTCACTCACCTCAGGCCTAACGGAGGCGGAGCAAAAAGCCCCCTTCGCCGAAGAAGCGTCAGTGCAAAATATCTGTGACATGTAATCTGCACTAAGCTCACTAGCAGCAAAAGGAATGAGGACCGATGCCAGGACCAGTTCATTTGCCGTCTGACGCGGCAGGTGTAGCATCTTGGGCTCCGATGCTTTTAGAGCGCTGGCATCGACAAGGCTGAACACCTTGCCAAAGAGGCTCATGAGCGGTCGACGAAACATAAACGCTGAAACCCATCCCCCTACTAGGCAGGTATGCAAAACATCCGTGGTGTGGGTCAACGCTGAAAGTTTCAGACTGATCAAGGACAGCGAAATCCTCTTTTCTATCGGGGCTCCTACCAAAACCATGCCTCTTTTCCTTGCTTCTGCGGACGAATTGACCTGGGCTCCCACAACCTTGGCTTTGTCCCCCAGGACGTCCTTTTCCGGGCTCCCTAGGAGCTTATGCTGTTCATATGTGGTGAGAGCAGTGGCAATTTTCTTACTAGCTCTGGACTTGCTAAGGGGGACACCTACCAGTTCTCTGCTGATGGCGAAATAATCATCGATGCACAGACCCTCACAATCCGCCTGAGCTTCTAAGGGCCTGGAGCTCCTCAGCCTACAGTGATCTGGGAGCAAGCCTATTGATGTTAGCAGTGAAGCATGAGCACACGTCGCAATATCTACCCCGGCATGGTCCCCCTGTAGGATCGATCTGAAGCACGCAAACAACCGATGTGGCCTCTCGCAGGCCTGCCTCAGGCCTCTCCATCCGAGCCTGTCTCCGCGCAGGCTTCTTTTGTACCTGAGGCGCGAGGAGGCGAGAGCGTACTCTTCAAAAGCCTTTGTTTGGCTAAGGCTCTCAAAGGGGACCGCAGGGCCTACGGTGTTGGTTCGAGAACGACTGGGAGTGGCATAGAACTGGTGGTAAAAGTCCTTACGGTCCGTAACCGCAATGGCAAGGTAGTGAGTCCGTGGGTTAACTTGAAGGTCTATCAAATCAAAACCGCATGGTAAATCTCGGCTAGGTCCCGAAACGCGACACTCGACGCTGTTTCTGGCACGGCGGTCTCCGATCTGCCGGTCTTGGCTTGATGACTTGTACGCATTGAAAATGCGTGTCTTGCACTCTGGTTCTGAAGGCGAAAAACCATCGTGGATGAAAAGCAACCCTCTGCTGTCCCAGAGGTGGGCCAATTTGCCAATCTCTTCTTCTGGGTCATTCGCAACCGGCCATGTCTCTCGGCCATAGTCCTCTGCCTCAAAAAGGAGTGAAGCGGGCTCTCTGTAAGCCATGACCAGTTCATCATCCAAATATGGAGTGGCATCCCAATGGCCAGACCCCTTAAGGACAAGTCTGCTAGCATCCAGGTTCCTATATGGTTTGAGCTCATCAGTCTCGTTCTTTGGTGGCACATCATAGCCTTGGAAACTTCTGTCATAGGGATTGCAGGATGGTCCTAACAAAGTCAGCGCATCCGACAATTCCCCGAGCCTTGCAACTAATTGAGGGAGCCTACGACCCGAGCTTGCTAATGTCTCAAAACAAGCTAGGCCCTCCGACCTTATCAAGCGTCTAATCCTCGCAAACAGGCACAAATGCTGCGTGGATGGTGCTCTCCCAAGAGACCCCAAATCAACATGTCCTCCAAAATGCCAGAAATTCAAAGCTAGCACTATGATATGGACAGCACGATTCAAATGGATCCTCTTCCTCTTAACCAGAGAAAGGTCATGGGGCATCCGAGCGAACCACTCGCCTTCCGGGAGCGGAGCCGGGAACAAGGTCGGCGCCGTGCTTTTCACACGGGGCAGGTGGAAAGTGCGTGCCAGGAGTGCTGCAAAGGGAGTACGAGTCCTCAGCACAAGGGAAGTTAATTGCGCACACCATCTCGGATAGCTGAACTTCACCATGTCAAAACTTGCATCAAATTTTGCTTCATGCTTGACTGAGTCTTGAAGCCTAAGCCCGCTGTCCACTTCGGAACGGCCCGGCCCTGTACGTTGGTCTTGCTCATATGTGCTGGGCAAACATCTATCCATTGCTGAATTCACTGACCTCCCCATTGGATGTGACCTGTCAAATGCACTGTCCAGATGGGGCTCATACTCAGGCACTAGGCCTTGGGCTGAGGTTCCCCCTTTGGCCTCTTGGGGAACCTTGGCTTTCGCTTGGGCGAGGCTTCGCCGCTCTGGTCGCCTGGCGAAGTTGTCGAGGCTGCCTTTTTCTTCGTATCTTGCTTCCTTGTCGACATGATGTCTAGGTCCTTCAGGAAGGAGAGGAGAACTGCTCCCCACGCCGCTGGCATGAGTGGCGTGAATGGCTTGCTGAGTGCAGCGCTCGCCGTCTTTTCCATGGACAACTGAGCAGGCGGGTCTTCTACCAGTGTCACCAGGAAGGCGGTCTCCCACCCTTGATCCATGGCCGCCTGGTCCAAAGCTGTGACCAACAATGCGAGGTGTTCTCTGACACCATCGTAATCTTCTGCAATTGCCGCATCGATAATGTACTTAATGATCCAAAGGATCGTCCCCAGCTCCCGACTGCTCTTGTAGGCTCCATAGCGCTCCAGGTAGGCCAGAAACGACAGTTTGGAGTCCCTCGCAGCTTCTGTGGTCGATGGAACCGGTCTTGAAGGATACATCCGACGAGACACTTGTTGAAGGAATGCCAGCCAGTATTGACTCTGTCTGAGGGCCAGATCTGATTGCATCTTTTCTCGCCTTGCAACGCCTCTGGTAGTAGATGCGGAGCTTGCCCCTGTCACCCCCAGCTGCAGGTCTGAAAGAGGGTCGGAAGACCCCCGGCCAGGTGAGCTACCAGCGATGTGATGGCCGTCGACTGCTGAGCCAGTGCTGTGATCACCGGATCTGTCGCCTCCGGGGCTGTCGGATCCTTCGGCTCGTCCATTGGAAGCGGTGATTCGACGGCTTGCGCCCTTGTCTTCGGAGGCGGGCCTAACAGGCTTGCAGCTGTCTTGGGTGCACCATGCTTGGGCGGAGGCAATGCTGCCAGACTTGCGGACAACGGTGCCATCTTGGGGTAATGACCTAGAACCTGACCACCTGGTTGTTCTACGGCAGGCGCGACAGAGGGGGTATATGAAGGGCTCAGCTGAGCCCTGGACGCCGTCTGGAGTGCAGCTAAGGCTTCGACCTTGGCCTTCACTGCAGGACTTAGTGCTTCTGGCTCTTCTCGAGCCGAGTAAAAATTTGCACGGCCTATCCCATGCGCCTGCGTCCACTCTCTGGCCGCATTGAGCAACTGACTAGTGGTTGGTAAAGCCCCCGGGAACTCATGATCGAACGGCTCAATCTCTTCCCCTGCGTCCAAGGCAGGATCATATTCTCTCAAACGGTTGAGAACACTGTCCAGCATATCAACCTGAAGCAGATCGATCGGCAAGGCATCGACCGGGACTATGTTTCCCTCTTCATCTTCCTCCACAAGACCTGCCCCACAGACAAACGATGGGCCCAGGACTTCAGCTTCATCATCGGATTGGCCCCTTTCCAACACGGTATCTTCGAAAGTGTGGATGGGAACAGCTAGCAACAGACCCCCTTCACGGGATAGGATGGGCAAAGCATATACTAATTTCTCCTGGCCCCCTTTCGAGATGTCAGGAGGAACGTGCAAAACTAATAAGCTAGGCTCTCCCGCCTCTGCAAACCTCAGTTGACTTTTCTGCATTCCTTCAACGGTGGCACCTCAATCGATGCTCCGAGACAGAAGACCTGCAATTCAGTCAACGATGGGAACTCTTCAATGATCGAATCCTGGGACGTGCCTCCAGCAGCCTGAGTGGCCTGCCGTTTCGATGCAACTCGAACTGGTGACTCGAGCCAGGGACCCCTCAATACAATCCAATGTGTGCTATGCAAGTGGACGACTGGACCCGAGGTGCGATACCCTGATCCTGAGGCCAGCGCAACCCTAGCTCGGTGACCCGCCTCGAAAGCCCTCCAAACCCGACGCTTAAGGGAACCGTGGATGCTCTCAGCCTAGTCCTGCACAGCTCTAAGATATCCGGAGGCACTGGTGGGACAGGATCAGTTGCCGAGGGCTCACCCTGGGTTGGCGGCAAATGAAAAGGTCCCTCGTTCGCAAAAGGCGGACCTCCTGCCTCGATCTCTTCCCAAACACTCTCGTCGATCAGTCCTTCCTGATCTGCCCACTGATCTAGTAGCCTACTCAGGTCCTGAACCCTAGTGCTCAACTGAGCTACCTCGGCTGAGATTCTAGCAAGTTCCAAACGAACGGAGTCCAGAGCGATCCTACTGCTCATGCAGATATCCCCCCAGCCGGCGGGATAACAGACGAATCGTAGCAGCCCTTTCTGGGGGAGACAAAAGATGCGGAGAGTAGGTGATGAAAGCAACGAAGCCCAGTAGGATAAAAGAGACTGCCAGCGAAAATCCACAGACGATCCCTACCGCAAAAGGACCCCAAATCGAAGGCGAACAGTGAGCCGGGCAGGATAGGTACTGCGACGCCTGCAGGAGGGTTGTCAAACCTCCCAAAACTCTATCCATGAAGCTTGAGAAGTGAGGGCCAACAGTCGCGGATATTCAATCAATCAGCTTGTAGTGGCGGGCCATTTCTCAGCTTGACTGAAACTGAGCAAGTACATCAGGGTGCCTGCTCAGTTGATGGCCCAATCGTTCCATGGTGCGAAAAGTATGGGATGGTGAATCATCATTCTGATGGATGATGGTCCAACTCATCTCTTTCTCACAAATGACTTAAGAGGGCACATCGGCCCGAGAAGGTCGTCTGGACCGGTCTCTGCCCACCCATCTACTGCAGGGCTCCGGCCCATCTACTGCTATCAAGGCCCATCCCACCAACGCGGCAGGGCCCGGCCTCGCAAGTACCATACTTCGTGGCAATCTTTCCAGTCCCGGAACCACGTCCTGGGTCTTGGTCAGCACCCAAGTCAGCTGAAACATTGAGGAACCTCCACCCAGTACTTGCGCTAGCAGAATGCATCACCTCAACCCTTTGCCGCCCTAATCGTTCAATCTGCTCGAAGAATCTATCTCTGCGGCGTCCGCCCCAGTCGCCCCAGTCGCCACTTCACTCCCCTCCACACCGGTCGAACCCGCTTCGGTGGCAAACACCGTGCGTTCGACCCGGTTCGGCCGCCGCACGGCGTCGACCCAGTCGAACGCCCAAGACACATGGCTTCGTCATGCCCACCCTTGTCTGGATGCAGCCTGCACGACAGGCCGAATGATAGGGTGGTATAGGGAGTATAAGGGTCTGAAGTCCACTTCCAAGCTTCCTCCCAAAAATGGCGGTCCTTTGTACAACCCCTGCCGCCAATTTTGCAAAAGACGCCCGACTGTGACCGACTGCTGAGCTCCGCCGCGAAGGCATGGGTTTTGCTTTGTGGACATTTGCAAGACCCCGCAAGAGCCCTCAATTTCCTGACGGGTGCGACGAAAGCAGGGAATGAAATGGATCCTGAGGAATGGAATTCCATTCCCTCGTTGAGGAATGGATCCTAAGGAATGAATTCCTTAGGATCCTAATGAGGAATGGATCCTGAATGGAATGGAATGGATCCTGTAGTGGGGGCATTCCATCCCTCATTCCCTGCTTTCGTCGCACCAGTCAATTTCTGGCGCATTGGATGCGCTTGGATGTGCTTGGTCAAAAATATTATCACGAAGGAAGATATACCGCCTTCGAAAGAATGGGTGGCCGCATGGGCCAAAGAAGGACAAGAAGGGGCTTCTCAACTTGGCTGTTCAACTTGGTGGGCGCCACTCCTGCGGGTGGCTGAAGGTCTCCTGTTTCCGGCCGAAACCCCTAACCCGTCCGGGTGTTGAAGAAAGCAGCATCCGTGCTCCAAAAGAATGTGCCCCCATGTCCTTCGGAACACAAGCTGGAACCAGCCTCCTCTGTACAGTCTTCAGAAGCTTTGTCTTCTCCTCCTCTGGGGCCGTTCCGACAACCCAACTCGGCACATGCTGCATAGAGATGCATTTTGTGCTTCAATGTGCTTCAGTGTTCACGGGTCTTTGTCCGTTTTCGGGGAAGGAAGCACTTCACTTGATCCTAAGACTATGACAATTGCTCTAATATTATAAGCTCGTGTTTTGCGTGAAAACGAGGTGGAGTTCCACAACCCAACAAAATGAAAACCTGTGGGTGAACGAGGGCTTCCCCTCCTTGGTGCCCTTCCAAAGGCTCATCAGCTCGTTCACAACCTCTTGGGTTAATTTCTTGGCTTCCTCTTCGAGCGGTTGCGGAGGTGTCTCCCAACAGACCATCGATGTCTCGCCAAGCACTGGAAGGTCGTGCTGCGGCTTTGCCTTGAGGCTCGGATAGTAGCTGGAGGAATCTTCGGAGCTCACTGGCGCAACTGCTGGAATGATCTTCATAGATTTGTCCACACCTGTCCACAGCGGGAAGAGCTGCGAGTCTGAATCAGCTTTGGTGCTTGAAGCATGGTACGCAGGATCTGCTTGATGAGATTGACATGAAGGCATTGCGGCATCAAGGCATTCGTGGCACCCATCCGCATGCTGGTGTTCTTCCTCAAAGAATGCAGCGCCAGGCTGATCGTGGCCTCTGAAATCCTCCAGGATGGAAGTCACGATGCTGGGTATGTCCTCCAGCAAGCGGCCGAGCAATTGATTTCACTCCATCAAACCAAGACAGGTTAAGTGACAAGTGACCTGATAGGACGTCTAGTGGGGTACCGAACTGGGATAGTCGAACGTTCGGGTTCTGACCCACCTCTGTTGGAAACATCACCGACCAAAGCAAGACATCGACTGCCTGAAGCGAGGGGACTCGGAACTTCGGAGATTCGGTAGGTGAAGAATGGCACCCCAATATGTCTTATAGACAGATTGGAGATCCATGCACACCCAACTTGGGTACAGTAACTTGCGCTATCTACTCTCCATCCACCCAAAAAATCAAACGCCCATGACCTATTTCCTCCATCCCCCCTGATCTCCCGCTTCTCTCCTTCATCAAAGCCTCCCGGATCTCCACGGTGAGTTCCTCGGCCACGGGCGCCATGGCCCGGAAGTCACTCAGCTCCCGCAGCAGCCGATCACCATTCCGCTGCTCGGCCTGGTGCAGCGGGGGCGGTGCGGGTTCCGAGCGTCAAAGACGAGCAATCCAGGTATCATGTGTAGACCCCCCAGTGTGGAAGCCAAATTCTTCGCTGTTTTGGCCATGTGGGTGGCGGACAACATTTCTTCATGCCCAGAAAGCCCTACGGAAGTTTGATCGGATGGATTTTGGTCGATTTTCCCAACCTTGCAGGCCGGAAAGGATGCAGTCTAAGCTGTTCAGTTGTATAGCAATGCTGCTAACAGATTGGTAGTTTTGTAAATTCCAGTATATATCGTTTGGAGGGGTTGGCGTTCACAAGTTACTCTTTGCCTAATTAATGGCCACTTGATCTACCCCTCGTCACTGCAAATTATCAAAATGGGCAGAGTTATATAGTATCGTCGCACAATAACCAATGACATGACATGCACAGCAAAAAGGGTCGTTCTAATCTTCCTACATGCACACATGTCCAACACCATCCCAATCCAGTCAACCTTTGCCTTCGCCACATCCTTGTCGATGTCTGCCTTGAGCTCCTCGAGCCGCCGGAGCAGCCGATCGGCATTCCGCTGCTCTGCCTGGGCAACGCCGAGCAAAGGGAAAATCCAGGTATCATGTTGAAGGCCAGCAAGGGCACAACACCAATCGGGGAAAGGATGCACTCTAAGCTGTTCAGTTGTATAGCAATTCTGCTGACAGATTGCTAGTTTTGTAACTTCGAGTCTCGTTTGGGCAGTTGTCTGTCACAATGTACTCTTTGCCTAATTGGCCAATTTGTTTAAACATTTTGTACTGAGAGAGATTGCATTGCGCTGCCTTGCTGAAACAATATCAACTCCTCCCCTCGTCACTGCAAATTATCAACATGGGCAGCGTTATATAGTATCGACACGCAATAACCAATGACATAACATGCGCAGCAAAAAGGGTCGTTCTAATCTTCCTACATGCACACATGTTCAACACCATCCCAATCCAGTCAACCTTTGCCTTCGCCACATCCTTGTCGATGTCTGCCTTGAGCTCCTCGAGCCGCCGGAGCAGCCGATCGGCATTCCGCTGCTCTGCCTGGGCAACGCCGAGCAAAGGGAAAATCCAGGTATCACGTAGAAGGCTAGCAAGCGCACAACACCAATCAGGGAAAAGATTGTAAGCTGTTCAGTTGTATAGCAATGTTGATGCCAAATGGCTAGTTGCGCAAGACCCACTATCGAACTCGGGGTCACCCTGCAGTCTTCGTCGATGCCAAACGCATCTTTCTTCGGGGTGAATGGCTTGCTCAAGTGATTGCCGATGCCAAACTACAAGGCTTTACAAGCCATAGACTCACGCCCTACCACTCCCCAGTGAACGACCGTAGGTGAAAGTATTGACAGGCGCAAGGTTGGGGAGTTGACTGAAAGGTTTTAAGGGGTATTGGCCGGCGTCGTTCCCAAAACAAAGAGTGGTCAGTGGAATCAGTGGATACTGCAAGTACCCACTGGACCAAAGCAGCATTCAGTCCGACTCAGCTTCGAGCGGGTGACGGGTGACACTAGGTTCTTGCCAGGGGCCAACACTTGGCACAGTTACGCTCTATTGTTGCAGCACAAAAGAATGGCACTGAAAAGAAAGGGAACAGGGGGCACTTTCTTCCTGCTGCCCCGCTGCCCTTCTTTCTATCCGCTCTCAAAGCCAAATCCATCCCCAGCATCTCCAAAATCCCTTCCGTCGCCTTCGTCACCGCCACTCTGATCTCCTGACGAAGCTCCTCTGTCATCCCGGCGAAATCACTCAGCTGCCCTCGCAGCTGCTGGGTTTGGAGCTTCTGCGTCTCCAACTCCGCCTGCAGTGCTAAGGATCATTTCAAGGGGGGTTGTCGAACTTGGAGTTGAAGGCACAAGTCTTTACTACTATGCCTATGACTCCTTTGATGACTCCTGGGGCCTCTGCTCTCCTTCCGTGATATGCGATCTGTAAGGGAAGCTTCAATCAGATACAAAAGGAACAAGAAGGAGGTGCAGGAGGAGGATTAGAAGAAGAGAAGTGGCTGGTTTCAGCTTCAACTTTCACAGCTAACTGAGGAGGTTGTGTCCTTTGAACTTTCTCACCAACCTGAAGCGCAGTCAAGAGGTTCTTCTGCTCGTCGATGAGTGCTCGCTGCCTCCCTGAAGACATGGCTTGCTGTTCCAGAAGCGCACCTTGATTCTCCAAGTCCTGGGGAGAGAGGTCGGTCAGGACGGTAACTTGAAAAGAGATCAAGCACCTTCCTCAGGTGTGTTGGTTTCCTACATCCATACCATTATCGGTGTTGGTATTGACACCAACCTCAAGATGCAGGGCCCGTGGACTGCTTTGTCTTACGACAGGGGCATCTAGCAATGGTCGATGTGTGATTTTCAGAATCCAGAAGAGTTCAACCTCAAGCATACTCACCTCAAGCCATGCAACCACAACTCATTCAGAGGTCCTTTGCTTGGCTCCGTAGTTCACTTTTCAGCATGGCAAACTCCTGCTGGACCCAATCTGCATGAGCGTAGTAACCGTGAAAGTACACCTTAGCGGCTACAGTGGGTCATCGCCCGCCACCTTAATATGAATATTACATGTATATAAGTATTAAATATATATATATATATAGATATTATCTCTACATTGTATATATATATATTGTATGTATAGGAACACCTAACACGGGAGATGCTTGACAAAGAGGTCTCTGCCCGCAGTTTCACACAGTGAAAAGCACCATACCAACGAAAACAAAGCGTATCACAATAGATGTTGGATGGACAAACGACAAAGACCTTGGGTATAATTACAATGATGCTAGGCTCCTTAGTGACTCTCGTACCAGCCAAGTTGCATAAGAGCCAGCTTTCACAGGGCACTCCACGGCGGAGTCGTTGTGGTTGAACTCGCCATCTTCTGGCAAGATACCCTCAAGACAGCTCCGATCCGCGCTGCTCTCCCATTCCAGATGTCCACCACTGAAATGCTTCCATAGGTACTTGTATTGGAAACTTGTTTGTTCCAGCTCCACCTGGCAGGGTTTCAGTCAAAGAATATACTTCAGTGCGAAAAGATCCTGCTCAAGTGGCACGCGCTTCGGGAGTGTGGGGGGTTTTGTAGAGCAGCTTGCCCCGCACACAGACCTACTGTCCTTGCCCGCACCTCAACCTGCCACTTGGGGAACAAGCCATCTTCCGTCTTCAATTCAATGGCGCAATCTGGCTTCCACTGTCCAAGCTGAGGAAGACCTGGCTGTGGAGGTGCAAGCAAAGAGAAAATCTCCGTCCCCACCTATGCAATCAAGTGGATTGAACCCTTGAAGCAGTCACGAGCAGTGAGAACGGGCCCAGTACTAGTAGAAAATAACAGGACATGACGGAAGCTTCACCCCCCCAATTGGAAATGTCAGAAGTTTCAGCCACCCTCATTCCATAAACTCACCCAGCTCCCCAAGTCAGTCCCCCAGCTGTTTTCTGCGTTATCTTTTTTTTCCTGCGCGTGTCCTTCCGAGTTTGGCGCCCAAGTGGCTCCCCACCACGAAGACTTTGTCGCCCGGTTTGGCGTCCTTCACGGAGACCACGAAGCGCATCCGTCGGACCATGGCGCGTCCTTCGGACCCTTCGGATTGCAAGGTGGAAGCAGTGCGGGTGTCAAGTCTCAGCCGGTGGAGACGGAGAGTCTCAGAGGTGCAGATTGGAAAAACGATGTGAGATCTTTGTTCAAAAATCGTCAGCCAGGCTGAAAGCACTGCCCACATGATTGACCACATGGGTTCGTGTCCGTGGATTTTTGAGGTCACTGTTCATTGTGAAGAGTTGTATCCTTCATCTCCCTCCCTGCAAGGCTCCGAAACTGGTCGCCACAGCGGCAGCGGTGGGCCCCCTTTCACAGACCACTTGCTCCCCAAGAGACCCAGCCACCTTTTAGAGCGTAAACATCAATGGGAATGTAGTTTTGCCGGATGATGAATTCACTTGATTCACTTGACCATATGTTTCTTGATTTAGTTATATATGTTTTTTAAGTTTCATAATATAAATATATATATATATCATACATATTGCATATGCATATATATATATATGTCTTTCAAACAAGAATACAATAATAGTAATATCTAAAAAGAATTTATAGTGATCTAGTAATATCTATATTACTCTAGTGATCACTTATTCAGTAATATCTAAAAGCAACTCTAGTGATCTACTGTTGAGAGCATTGCTCTCCGAGACTTCTTTCAGTGATCGGACGACTGCCGGACCACTCCGAGTCATCCACAACGATGAGTTGTCGTAAACACAACGATTGATGAGCGATGTATTGATTAGGGAATATGAACCGACTGAATTGATCATCTAACTCTAAGTTTATAGCAAGAATGTCTAGTCCTATTGAAATTCTGACAAGCATCAATGTCCGAGAAGTCCCTATATGTCAACAAGCACAAATCAATATATCCTCGATATGATATGTCCATTAAAGAATATTGAACATATCAACAAATGGTGTGTTTGCCTTCAAGTTGCAACGTACTACGGAGCTTAATTCCGGCGAAGATTTCTTTCATGAAACACAGCAATCCCATGTATTGATGAGAATCTCATTAGTTGCGGTGGCCTCAAATTCATGGCTATCAAGAAAAGTCTTGGTTAGCAACAGTTCTTGATCTTCGATCTGCATTAAAGAAGAACTGTCACAAAATACAATGTCCTTCATTGCTAATAGCTCTTGTACCTACTAGCTGCTACCGCTTTGCTATCACCAAAAAAACGTCCTTTCTGCTAATGGCTCTTATAACTTCTAGGTGCTAATATCTCCTGCGGCTGTGGAAGATAGTGACCAGTGACGTGATTTGCCAGGAATCTATATAATATTTAAAAAATCAATCCATTTTATATTATTGACAATATGTGTTTGGTAGTATTGCGCAATTGTGGTTATGTATGATTTTTAATATATTGTATATTATAAGCTACAGGCAAAACCAATTATCAAACATGTACAACCCCTACAATAGTAATATTTTGCGATGATTAATACAATATAATGTCGTTTTTTGTCCGATCAATAACTTAAAGAATCGGATGATTCTACGGTTTCCACTTGCACCGTACTACGAGCCTAATTCCGGCCAAGATTCACCTGGTGAAACACAAAGGTCCAGTGCAATGATGAGAATTGTATTCGTTGTGTTCGCTACACTGACGTCAAATTAATTTAATTTATGGTTTTCTTGGCCGGCAGCAGTTCTTGCCCTTCTATCAGCAGAACTGCCACCAAAACTTGCAACTTTGTTGCCCATAGCTCTTGTAGCTACTAGCTGCTCCTGTGGCAAAAGAAAACAGCCAAGTTATTGTATCAAATCTCCTTTCGTCATGTGGTCCAAGAGAAGAGCATCCCAGATCTTCGGCCGCCAATTCTTACCCTTCTATTCACAAAGGGAGAACTGCCGCCAAAATTTGCTCTTGTTGTTCTTGGCTCTTGTAGCTACTAGCTGCTAATAGCTCCTTTGGCTAAAAAAGGGATAACGCAATCACTTGCCCGGAATCTACCTCTCAACCAGCTCATAAGAGTGGGTCGAACCTGAAGCGACAGGATTTGAGGGGATGAGTAAGCAACAGTCACTCTGGGCTCATTCCTGCTCTTGCGTATTGGTCGCAAACTCTGAGGGCCTTCACTTGCATCAGAATCACGTTGCCACTCTGCCCTCAACTCCTGCAGTTTATGGGAAAACCAATATGATCTTCTCGTTCAATAGAATGGTTGATTAACTTTCAGACTAGCGGTCCTCTACTCTTTTAAAGACACCCAAGCGTTCTTTCAAATGTGAACTGCAAAAGGGGTGGTCAGCAACCCGGCAACTCCTCTCTAATGAGCTGCATCATATGCTGCCGTTCCATCCTGGGGAATCGTGCCAAAAAGGAGCGGAGCAAAGGAACCCCTCCAGGCTTTGGGTTCAGCCATTAGCTCCTTCAATGGGATGCGGACACTTCAAGACAGAAGCAAAGTGCTTTAACGTCGCCATGGAGCTGGAATTCAGCGAGCAACTGCTGCTTCTCAATCTGGAACTTCTCCTCGCGAAGTGCGGAGGCGTAGAGATCTTGAAGCCAAAAAGAGCTGCCAACTATAGCCCAATATATTGCTTGGGACCCCCAATACCTCTTCAGGTATTGGCTCCGAAACTGCTGATCGGTTCGTGCACCAAACCCCCCACGCATGTGACAAACCACTAACGGTTTGTGTCACATGAACGGGCATATTATGACTTCATCGACCCACTGTCGACCGTGGTTCGACCACAGTTTGTGCACACACCAATCTTCTCCTCCATTTCAAGTCGCAGCTTGTCCATGGGGTTTGGCAAATGCTGCCTGATCGCGCAGAGTCATCGTTGGCGCACGCCCCCTTCAAGAAGGAAAATGGCCCAGAACCCATTGGTGAGAGTCTCCCTCTTAAGATAAAAACCTCTTGAGCTATAGTGAAAGTGGAAGGCCTTTTGGTGTTGGCTCTCTAGGAGTGCCGCTGGACGAGAATACGTACTGTGGACCAACTTGTTTGTGTTCCTCAGCGGCCGATGGACGTTCTACGGTCGAATCTCTCAAAGTCGACGACCAACATCACCAACAGGCCCTTGTGTTGCACAACCTCAACAATCACCAGTTTGGTCTCAGCTCGAACTGTTTGTTTGCCGCGAGCTGGCGGAAGGTCTACACTCCTTGAAATCACATGAAATAATCAGTGGATAGCATGGCCCCAAGTTCCGATGACCATGAAATCTGAAACCAACAACTCGAGGATTTCAATCAGTGTCACGACGCAAGCCTCGCAAGCCTCGCAGATGTCTCCCGTCCGGGGGCATCGTGTGCCACGGTCGATCTCTGCGGCCGAGCATCTGAATTGCCTCGGAACTGGCCAGCGGGGCCCTGGCAGCGTTGGCAGAGACGAAGAGCTCAAAGTCTCCATAGCAGGCGGCTGCTTCTTCCTGCTCGCGAGCCCTTCAATTCCAACAGCCATTGTTTAAAGTTTAATGGTCTTTACCGAACAGCCATTAAGGGCTTTGGAGTACAAAACAGGTCCACCACTTTCTGAATGGTCTTTGAAGGCTAGGGTGAGGGTTTCGCCTTCATGGGTATGCTTTGAAACCTCTAAGAAACCAAAAGTCCGCAATGCTAAGGGGGTCTAGAGCACTGCTACGACAACAAACACCTTGAGACCAAAGAGCTCAAGACCGCCCTCGGCAACCCTGTCTAGCGGTACAACCGTAGAGGATGCTGCACAATCCACAATTCGAGAGCGAGTGAGAAAAAGACCAAGAGGTTTGGGGTACAGAATCCCAGAAGCCAGTCTTGTTTAGCAGAGGTTTGTAAACCACTGGGTGAAGTCATATTGTTTGTTAATGCAACCCAACCTCTGTCAACAACTGTCTTGCAGAACCTGGAACGGATGGTGAACTCCAAAATCAAAAGCGCTTCCCAAGCGTTGGCACAACCCCAGCTCATCAAAGACTTTCGAGTGGCTTCTGCCACCGAGTCTCTAGAAAAAGAAACTATTTTTGGGGAATTGCTTGATCGCGCGAGGCTCCGCTATCTACACACCCCTTGCTCCGGGAGCGGGGTATACAGACACAACATGATACATTTACAATTGGCTTTAGGCAAACGAAAATCTAGAAGTGGGAGAGACTCTCCCACCAAGGCCCCAGGCATAGGCACTGAATTTACCAACACCCAAAGAAGCATGGACTTGGCGATGAAAACTCCTGGGCAAATCTGTGAATGGCGTCGGCATCAAGCCCGCCTTGGATTTGCTTCAGGAACATCGAAAAAATAATAAACATCTCGGATGCCTTACACTGTGAGATTCGAGCAGATGGCTCAAATCCCAACATGAAATGGAGATGGAGGTCGTGCAATCTACTTTGAATCATGCGGATTCTCCAATCCGAGGGCTTCCACTGGGGATAAAAATTAGACTCGTCTCATCTGCAAGCCCAGGCCGCTGTTCAAGTCACTGAAGGTTTCAAACTGAACCTGCCACACGTTGACTCATCCAATTCTCCAGTTTAGTCAGGCAAGCCAATATGCGTCCAGTGGTATTCAGAATTGCAACTACTTATTCTTCTTCTTCTTCCTCTTCTTCTTCGTTTTCTTCCAAACAAATACTTTCTCCTATGAATTCTGCGGCTCACGCCTCAGCACGCGCCACCAAGCTTTCAAGTTCAAGCGCCGCTTCCTGTCTCTCGGCAATCTGCCGCCCAAGCTGCTGCACCTCGCGGGACAACCCCGTCCAATTCGGCATTGAAGGGTCAGTCCCTGGTCATGAGTCACGCAACTGGAATCTGGCCTTTCGGTTTGAAACTTTTTGAAGTGTTCCATGTGGTTCTTTTCAGGGAAGCGCAATGTGTTTGATGTTGCAGTCCTGAAATAAATTGATTCATGTTTTCTTGATGGCGTTGAATTCTTGGCACATTCACTTTCCTGACCTACGACTAGGTTGGTTCACATCAATGGGAGTGGCTTGCAAGACCTTGCAGCCAGTTTCATGAGTTCCTGGACTTAGAATGCTCCAGCACTCAACCCTTGGGTAGCCACCAAATAGAGATGAAAGGTCCAATGAACATTTCAAGGGAGGCTATGCAAAATAAGACAACAAAAACACAAATCATGTTCAAAGTTTGCTGTCATTCAGCTAACGTGGTCATGGAACACTCTGAATGAACCCTGTGAAGCAAACCCAGAGTTTCTCTCCCCAAACATTAGCTCATGTCCCAATAGGTCTTAAAAGGGCGGACATCTGTACGAGAAACAGCTGCAACCAGCTCCAGTCTGGGCCTCCTCGAGGAGCTCTGCCTTCCTTAGCCGATCTCAACAGGTCAGACCTGTCCGACTCCCCAAGGCACAGAAGGGTCAAGTGTCTCATGTTCCGTCCCACTGCCACACTGAATCAGCTGAAGTGCGATTTGGGCTGCTTCTCGGCGTCGGCCGCCTCTTGGCGTTGCTGCTGCTCCTTCAGATGGGTAGAGGTTGGAACGAATTGAAGATCAAGATTGCCACTCAACCACGGCACAAAACGGTTATAGAAAAAAAACAGCAAAACAAGAGAGCTCCTTACAGAGATGCTTGACTTCTTTCTGCTTCGCAGCGAGCGCACATTTGCCCAGCTCTCTCGCAAAGGCCGTGTTCGTCCAAGCTGCCTGAGCAAATAGGTCGAGTCATGATATCCAGGTCAAGCCCTGTACTTCACGCAAATAGATGCCCACCCACCTGCCTCCACTGCAGGCTTGGAATAATCGAGCAAGCCAGCATGGGTCTCCTGCAAACGTGTACATCAATGGCACGCGGCTTTCTGCCGCACAACTCATTGGCCCAAATATGGCGCCCACCAGTTTCGATCAAAGCCCTAGAATACCTGACAGCTGTCGTGCCAAAGCATTGGAGTATGTTCGAAAGGATGGAAAATGAACTCTCTCAACTTCAAACTTCACAAGGGACTTGTCCATCCCAAGCCCATTCTATTCTACACGTGATTCAATTGTGGCGCGCGGCGGATTCGGCCTGGATTCGGGTGTGAACCAAATGCATGCACGAGGCGGCCTAGCGATCGAGCCACGGCGGGAAGAATGCAGTTGGCCCAAGCTTTGGCAGCGAAACAGCCCGTCATGGTAAACCCCAAAAGAACAAAATCACCGCTAAACCCGGTGTCTTCTTATCCGGGCCAAAATGGCGCATCTCCACAAATCGGCCTCCTGTTCGCAGCGTGCAAATTTGGGATTCGCCTCCTGGAAGACCGGCCCAGCTCACGGAACATGTTCGAACGGGCGAGACCTGACTGGTGACTGTGTGGGCTCCGGGCTCAAAATGGGTTGGGCATGCATGTGTCCTGTGAAAAGCATGTCTCAGGTGTCAAAAAGAGAAGTACTTGCGGGGGGGAAGACCCCTAGGGCCCTAGGTGAGGACAGACCCACGCGGCAGTGGAATATCTGCTGCAATACTGCAATACCTACGAAAGACTCTGCCTGAAAGTGGTGCAAATGCCACAAGGCAATAGCTTTTGCATGGGAGCTCACCGATTGCACGTTCAATCAAAATATATGGACATTGTTATTTGAAGTCATGAAAGTTAACCAAAATGAAAACATATATATAAATAGTTCTTATATGTTCTTATTGTATGGTTGTCAAATACAACTCCTAGATATGAGAGTTAACAAGGTATGCTCTATGTGTCTTCAAGATCTTCGATGCCAGAAGAAGGTGTTTGAAATATGCTTCCGCCATGGAAGACGGCTAGTTGATGTGACCATGTGAACCCCTTGCATCGATCTATTCCCAGGGTAAATGACATGATCAAAAGAATGATGTGTCCACTCCCGTCTCAATTCCCGTCTGTCTGTGGCATTCTCATTCTGGCATGCTAATGTGGACTGTGCATTTATGAAACCCCCGGAATAATGTCTGCAAATGTTCCGGTTCATTTAACGTGTTTCTTGTGTTTTCCATGTTGGTTTGGGAGCTAGTTTTGCTGTTAATCTTCTTCGCGTTGCTATTCTACACCGGGTAGAAAGTTTCTGGCGCAACATAGGGTTCCCGGGAGGGTTCTGGGATGCGCCATCAACGTATTTTGCATTGCTATCTGGCACCTGTAGATGGCGCAACTACAGGGAGAGAGGGTGAGCAAAAACACAAACTCTAAAAAGAAATGAGATTGAAAAAAAACTATAGATGACACAATGCACCTTTGTCACCCATTCAACCCCATACAAATCAGCCCAAACAAATCCAAAGCAGTCCAAACCCCGCTCAAACACTCTGTCTTCTGCTCTTTCTCCTGCTTTTCCTTTCTCTTTTCTCTGTGTCTTTCTCTTTCTCTTCTGCGCAAAAAGATTCAGCATGATTCAGCTAGTTCTGCTTTCAATACAGTATATAGATGGAGCGTGCCGTGAGGGGTCTCCAAGTACGAGGTTTTTAGCTTAAACACAGCCCTTTTTATACTGTCGGGACGCCTACTGACGGCGCAACTCTACTGTGGTACTCTGAAGCTTGTAGATGACGCATCGTTTTATTCATCTATGGTGTATTGTTGTGACTCTTTTGTTGTTTTTTGGGGGGGTGCTATTTTCTTGCAAATATCTTTCTTGGCATTACCTTTCTTAGTGTTGTCTTTTGGTCTGGTCGCAGGTCCCACAATCCTGAAGGAGGGCGACCATTAAAAAGGTCTATATAAAGTGCTCTCTGATGAGTCCGGCTCCTCTGGATCCCCGCTCTCCCCTCCTGCAAGGCTGCGTCGGCGGCCGACAGCGCTTCGGTGACCGCCTCATCCGTCTTCTGCAAGTTGTCCTGGTCACAGGTGAGTCGAGGCGCATGTGCAAAATCCTGACTTGGGTCGTGTAAGCCCTGATGTGTCAATGCCTGGCAGAGATCCTTGAGACTTCTTGGGTGGTCAATGTCCAGTGAATCAGGGAGGTAGTTGAAGCACGACCCCCGTCACACAGTGTGGTTTTCTTGCGATGTTCATGTTTTTGGTCGCGCAGGTCAGTCTTCTTCCGGTTGTCATAGTTTCTCACATGTTATAGAGTATGACAAGTTTTTTTCTAAAAAAAGTCTCTTCTTGAAAGCTGCATGCTGTCTACGCTACGCTACACAATGCGACTGACATTGAGTCGGGTGGGGTGGAGTGGCGTGGGATGGGTTGGGATGTTCAGGTTCGGTTCCAACTGCACACCCATACTTTGGAAACTGTGTGCGCCAAGAGAATTGCTGACTGAGCTGAAGGAGAAAATGAAAGGTTTGACTGCACTTGCCATCCGTCAAAAAAAACATAGTGTTGCTATCGTCCAAAAGAATCATTTCAAGGCAGATCTTTGATAATGCGCACGGCGCTACAGCGCCATCAACATGTTGCAGATGACCATGCTCATTTTACCGCCACGGCGTAACAGGGGGTCGTGCACCAAGTAGTTGCCTCGTCTGGCTCTACGACAGTGGCAAGGGTCTGAAAATAACGAGACCCCTGACAACCGAAAGGTGGGGAAGCAACTGAAATTGACACCAACCTGCTGGGCCGGAGGGAGATCGACCGATCGACCCATCCAACTCATGACGCGCGTCCGTTCTAGCAAAACCCGGCCTCCGTCATGAACACGGCTTCATCCCGGATGTAAGCATCTAAGTATTCCTGCCATGTCCTTTGTCGGGTCTTCTCCGCTTGCTCCAACGCTTGCCGCTTGGCGGCTACCTCACGGCGGCTGATGCGACGAAGGCTGGCGCATCGCTGCCGCTTGACACGGGTGTCCGCCTGTTGCTCCGCCAGACGGGCACGTGCCTCCGTCACAGCTCGGCGCCACGAGGGGAGGCCATCGGCCTTCTGCTGCAGAGACTCTGCATCTTTTTGTTGGGCATGGATCGCATCATGTGGGAAGGGAAGCGTGCTGCTTTCCAAGAGGCGCAAAGCCGCCTCCCTGGTCGATTTGACATGACTGTCATGCAGCTCACTCTGCATCTCGTCATATTTGGCGCCCTTCTCGTCCTCGTTCACCCACGAAAGGTTGCACTCACCCAAGTAATGACCTAGCGCCTCTGTAAGAGACTTGTTTTGCACACGGGCGATGGCTGTCTGGGTTTTCTGGACCGCCGCCCTTTCGTGGGAAAGCTGCCGGCGGAGATTGACCCGCAAGTCTGCCAAGGAGTCCTCGTTGCACATGTGAAACAGGTTGGTCAGGGTTTCCTCTGCAGAGGAACCAAATTGCCGACACTGATCAGCACAGGAAGCAGCATCACCTCCAAGGTTCTCGATGTAACTAGCACTGGAAGAATTGAAGGTCTCAGGCACCAAGGGCAAAATGCCCAGAGGGTCTTCCTCGAACGGGAATCCTACAGATGAATGGATGCTCATCAGGCCCAGCAGATCCCGATCGCGAAGCCGCTCCGAGACCTCGGTGTGAGTCTCACGTTCCACCGCCGCGCGCTGGGCGGTCTGCGTCTCAAAGCTTTGCAAGAAGTCGGCAGCTGAAGCGGCCATCGCGACGATCAATGGCACTGCTTGATACGCACCCACAGGCTTGGATTGCGCAAATGCTTGCGGATGCCAATTTGTATAAGATTCCTACGGACCTTATCCAATCAGCTTACCGCCAACTGAGAAATATCATGGACCAAAGCAGGCCGTGATGTGAAGAATGAGACGCGTGCCCACGCATTGCCGCACTCTTTTAGCACCCAACAAAGGCCTTGCAGCCACTGTTGTCATCGGCCTCCATGGACGGAAATGGGTCTGTCTTGAAATGAAAAGAACCTCGGTTGTCTATTCAGTGGTGTTGAAACGTCCTAGTTGAATGGAGAAGCTTCGTAGTTTCTTAGGACACTGGGTTGCGTTCTCTCATTTGGGGACAAACCATTTCGGAAGCCACACTTTGCTTCCCATGGCACCGCTCTAGCATGGTGTGTTTCTTCAACCAGCTCTTGCGGTGGAAGGCAAACCCTTCAAGTTACAAAATCGCCGCGCGCTGCGTCTGTACACCAAGACTCTTGGCTTGTGAAGGGGAGAAACTAGCCATCCTTTGGCTGCTTTGGATTTGTGTGCTTGTGAGTTGGCTTGCCACAAGCATAGTTGATCATAGTTGAACGTAAATGTTGAGACCCTTGTGCTTCTTAAAAGATTGCATGCTCCGGAAGTCTCATGCCCCTGCAATAGGCACCCACTGGCATCAGAGCTTCTGTCAACCTGCCCGCTGTTGCTTGCAGCAGCCAGTCGGGGTGTGCACAGGGCCTCCGAACGCACTTCATTTGACTGACGCGAAAAAGCTTACACACCCCAAGTGTTTCTCATGTGCCATGAACCAACTCCACCTGGACTCCTAATCCAAAAAGCAAACGAAAGATGGGCAAATGTGGTCTACGAGTCCAGTCCGACAGCTCGCCTCGCAAATACCATGCTCGGTGGCGAGCTTTCCAGGCTTCAAACCAAATCCTGAATTCAGAGACTGTCATTGGCATGCCACGTGGGTATGCTGGGTGAGCTGTTTCAGCGTGCAAGAAACGACACGTGGATGAACGACCCACCCTGGACCAGGACAGTGAGCTTCTATTGAACGGATCAGTTGCTTTGGCAGGCCAAGGCAACAGAAAGTCAACTCTTCTTCTGCTTTCAACAGTTCGATGTTGGACTTCTCTAAGGGTTCCTACTTGCAAGTTGCCCGGAGCTAAGCGTTCCATTTCGGCGTTGCACCCCTCAACCACATGGGGCATCAGTCATGAGAATCCGCACCTCTGAACCAAGTCACATCGCTTCGTCACTTCCACCCTTGTCCGGATGGAGCCTGTGAGAACACGCAGACCAGGGACACTTTTTGTGTCATGAACACAGGGACACCAAAGCAGTGTGGAGGAAATTCGAGTGGCACTACAGAGGCTGTCTGCATGTAGGTGTTGACCTTCAATTCCTCGAATCGAGTGGAGCAATGGTCTTCGGCGCTGACCTCAAATTGATGTTCTTCAGAAGCTTTGCCTTCTCCTCCTGAAACATGTGTGAGCCTTGGAATCACAAGCCCTTCGTTTGAACGCTACATTGGTACATGTAGGGGGCGTGCCGCCATCACTGAAACACACGCCAACAGGCTGTGGTGTACTTGCGCTCATGGCTGCCTTGTTGCAAGGCTGCTCAGCCATTCAGTTACAAGGCTGTTGAGGCGAGGTCAGGTACATAGGCCTTCATACATGGTAGACTACCTTCGGAGCTAGGTGTTTGAAGGCATCACTAATTTTTGTGCACGTGTGGAGCAAGAAATTCAACCGAAATGGCGACCAAAAATTGATGTGCCGTTCATTTGCGCTTTCAGGTCATGAGCCCAAAGAAAGAATACCAACATTTTGACCATCCCCCATTTCACTATACACCCATTGCAAACCAGCTCTCAGCTCTCCAGCTCCTGGCTGCCTTTCCATAGACTCATAAGCTCATCCACAGCTCTCTGGGTCAGTCTGCTAGCTTCCTCATCCTCAGGATGCGGGGGTGTATCGAAGATGATCTGCCGACGCTCGCCCAGTGTTGGAGGCTGTTGTGGCTCCTTCTTCCTTGCCGTTGGATTCGTTGCGGGATCCGGCTCCAAGTTCGCACCAAAAGAGGGCCCAGGAGGAGGAGGCCTGGGAGCAGCTTGGAGCTCATGGGGGGGTGGCATCAGAGTACTCTTTTGCGTCCTCCTGTTCTGCATTGGTCTGAGTAAGAGTATGTGCAGCATTGCAGCCCATCTCGCCCACAAGGGATGCCACTATCTTGGGCATGTCCTGTGGCGACCCACACTCATTTGCCGGAAAGATGCTACAAGTTTGGGAAATCCAGAGGGTATCTTTGACGTTGGACCTCTGCTGTCCTTCGCAAGCTTCTGAAAAATAACGAGTCAAACGCTTCAGACACGAAGCAAAACACCCAGGCCCTGCAACTTCATCGATCCCCAATTACCCCCCTTTCACCAGGGGCCTGCATCAAGGCCTCGTTGATCTCCATCTTAAGCTCTTCTGCTTCCGGCACCAAAGCCCGGAAATCGCTCAGGTCCCTCCGGAGGCGGTCAGTGCTCCTCTTCTGTGCCTCCAAGTCTGCCTAGCGCAGGCGATGTTTAGAGCGATGTCTTCTGTGTCCATTTCTCTGGGGGCGGCAGAAACTATGACCCACACAGCCCAATGGGATCATCGGATAAACAGCGACACTGACCGGCGAATCACCGCCCTATCTGTCGTAGACGTCTTGCTTCAAAGTGCGAAACATTGCTGCTCGGCAGCCTGGGAAAGCTAAATCATACGCCGCAAAACAAGGAATATCATGGCAAGAACCTCTACGCACTTAATTAAGACAAGGAATATCCGTCTTGTCGCTTGCATCCTGGACAAACCGGGGAGGGTAACCCAACATGCCTTAGGCGCAACCTACGGAGCATGTTTTGAGCTGCAACCTGGGTTCATGCTTTATGATCTCCAGCCCCTGTAGGCATGAAACGAATCATTCCCATTTATTGCGGCGGATGTTCAATTTGGATGCTGCAATCTTGCTGGTGCAAGAAGCATATACGTATTCTATTCTGTTAAACCGTTGGTCAATAAACTTGCAGGTTTGTTACAGGTTTGTTCCAAACCCCCCCCGTGTGTCAAATCTGATCATGGTCCGTGATGAGAAAGGATTCGGTTCCGGTTCGGTTTCTGAAACGATGGTCAAAACCTGGAGCCAACACCTTTAGTAGTCTATGTCTGTTCCATTTTGTTGGTCAACCAAGGTCCCCCAGCGTCATGACCCATAATGACTTTGAAGGGCCATGTGAAAGTCCTCCCACAACCTCAAATGGGGTCAATAGCTCTTTCTTTTGTGCCCTTCATAGACATAATGAGTGTTGCTCCAAAACCAAGCATACGGACATCTAGGTCTTTTTCAAAAGCACAACTCAAGGCAGGCTCCTGACAAGTTCGCAATAGATCCAGCAGGGACACCACACCTGCAAAGCAGCACAAAAGGAGTGCAGTGAGGGGGTCCACGCTCTTATACTCACAGGTTCGCACTCACTGAGGCGCGCACGTGTTTCAAGCTGAGTCTCTTTCTCCTGGCGGATGTCTCGCTCTCGCTCGAGGTCCTGGGCAGGAAAGGAGGCACTGCAGTACCGAATGCAGACTGAAACGCATCGCCACTCAGAAGAGCTTCCCGCACCGGCGCCTGAATTCTGCGCGCCTGACGCACAAGCTGTTTGCGCAGCTCTTCCTGTGCGACTCGTAGGGAATGAGGGACTGACCCACAAGGAGATTCCTTTAGCTGACTGGTGCTTAGTAGGGAGCACGGAGTAAGGGACTGAGCTCCCCATAGAGATTCCTTTGGATCCAATCCCTCATTCCCTACCAAGCACCAAGAAGGCAATCCATTCATTCGGATCAATTGGTGGTTGGCCAAATCACTGGCATGTGGCATGCTTTGACATGCGTCATCGGAACAGCCCTGGTAAACTGAACTTGAATTTCCCTACAAACCATCTTCCGATTGCATGGCAATCTTCTTAAGACTTTGCTGTGCCCTGCACATATTATTTTGTTTGGGTCACCGTCATTGCTAGCAAAGTCAAAGACTGCCCAGCCACCTTCTCCTCTTCCATGAGTGCTCGCTGTCTTTCCAAGCACGTCACATTCTCTTCGTAGCGCGTACGCCACTGCTCCGTGTCCTGGCGAACCCGAAGTCCCAACCCACGAGCTGGTCCCCAATAAATCAACCAGCTCACTCCCGTGATACAAAGAACTTGTTTAGGATTTATTTGCAGCTATGGCCAGTGCCCCGAAGGGAGAGTGTTTTGCCAAGTTTGCAAGTGTGAGACTGCTTGAAGACTGCAGTCTGGGGCAGGTGTTTGCCTCTCATAGCACCATGCTGGCCACACCAAATATTCTACATCCCGTCCGTGTCCTTGGCTTGCATCTGCATGGTGTCACGCAGCTGCGACACCTCGAACTTCAGGCTGGCAAACTCTTGCTGGGCCCACTCTGCATGAGCATAGTATCCGTGGAAGCACACCTTGGTCAACCCCTTCAACACCCTTCATCATCCTTCATCCATGTTCACCAGCCACAATGCAAAATAACCCTACCCCTACTTCAGACGGTGTTTGTATCCTTGGTACCAACTTGATACCCCAAAGGTGTGTTCGGCCAAACCGCGCAACTGATTATCAAGCAAAGACGAAGCTGGCTACGGACTCTGCCCAGCTACGTAAGAGCCGGCAGGCGTGACGCTCTCATTGCGGTTGAACTCGGCGACTTCCAAAGGGCCCTGAAGAGAATAAATTCGATTGGTGATGTTCTCCCACTCCAGGTGTCCACCTTTAGCATGCTGCCAGACATACTTGTACTCGAAAGGTGCTTGCTCCATCTCCACCTGGCTGAAGAGAAGGAGCGCGCCCACATCTTCAGTTCAAAGCGCTAAACCCGGCAGCTGGCCCCGTGCTCCAGCCTACTCCGACCAACCGCTCACCCGCCTCAACTTGCCACTTGGGGAACAAGCCCTGTTGTGTCTTTAGCTCTCGAGCACCATGCATCTTCCAATGTCCAAGCTGCCCGACACCTGCTTGGGAAACTGAATGGATGGCCAAACCGGTCTCTCAGTTTCTACGTCAGTGTTTTCGATGATTTCGCGATGTGTTCTGCAAACTGCAAACTTCTAAAAGACCGGCTCCAGAACCGCCTGTGACAGGTCAGGTTTCTTGAGAACACCACCGTAGTGACGCCTCGGTGACCTTCTCTTTAGCATAGAAAGAAGGAGGGATCCACCAGGTCCAATCGTTCTGCAGTACACTTGGAATCACTAACATGGGAGTGGAAAACCATTGTATTGAGGGAAAATCGTGACTCTCTCAGGGAGTGTGGTTATTCTCACGCGGTTTTTTCGCCCCCGTTGGGCAGTCTGGAGCAACTTGCAAGGTCGCAAAAGGAGATACATGTACCTGTGACGTAACACAGACGCATCTCCACAGGCTTGTGTAAAAGTCCTCCGAGAACGAAAAAAAGGTGCATTGTACAAGACGCAGCAGCTCAAAAAGAATCCTCACTGCTCTCCACTCTTTATCCAAGGGACTTCCCACTACGAAGACCCTGTCTCCCGGTTTGGCATCCTTCACGGATACCACGAAGCGGTGACGAACCCACATGGCGGAGGAGGCCCAAGTGGCGCAAAAGAGAAGTGCCGGAGCTGAAGATTGCTTGGTAGAAACTCTGTGTTGGGTCAGTGAACATGCTGCAGGACTGGAGCAGGACTGCCTGCAAGGCCACACCGTAATTATCCTAACTTCCACGTCCGTTGCCCAGAGAGTGTAATTCTTTGCGAGTTGTTCTCTTGCCAGAGGACCTGTTCAGAATGAAGTGCCAATTGCATTCTGTAGATCAACCCTGTGTGTGGTGCAGGAATATCATATTTTTCTTGCGCATTGCAGTTTCTGCATGCTTGCGGCTAAGTACACCAGAGCTGCATTGAGAGATGCGCTCTTCCCCTACAAGTCCCTTAGACTTGCAGCCACAAAGCATCGGCCCCTGTGCATCCGAAAGCCATGGTCCACTGCGACGGTCCACTGCGACGGCAAAATACAAAACCGCCAGGTCCACTGCGACGGAGTGATGGTTCCGACGGCTAATTGCGGTCAATCAGCACGTCCAACTCGAGCAAATCCATCGGAATTCTTTTTGAGTTCTAGGCAACGACCGAACTGTCGGAAGCTTGATTTCGGCCACTCGGCCAAGGGCGGAAAACAGAGCCTTTAGGTTTGGCCGTTCACAAGCGTTTGCATGGAGAGATGTTGTTTTCCCCCACAAGGTTCTTTGACTTGTGCCCAAACGCGGCAAAGGCTTCAGTTGCCAGCCTTGGCAGAACAACACAGGGGCCATACTGATTTGATAATCTAAATGGTAAATAGGAATAGAATAGAGTCTACCCCTATTGATATTCTGATAAGTATCAACGTCCTATCAATCCTTATGTCAATAGACGTCAATAGACATACGTAATCAATGTATTTCAATTATTCTCGATATGTCCATTTTAAATAATCAGGCGATTGGTTAGTCTTGAAAGTTGCAACGTACTACGGAGCTTAATTCCGGCCAAGATTTCTTTCGTGACACACAGCAATCCCATGTAATTGATGAGAATTTCATTGGTTACATTGGCATCAAATTCATGGTGGTCAAACAAACTTTGGCCGGCAACAGTTCTTGACCTTCCATCTGCAATTGAAGGAGAACTGTCACAAAAATAAAATCATATAAAATCTTTCGTTGCTAATAGCTCTTGTAGCTAGTAGCTGCTACAGCTTTGCGGTCGCTCTTGTAGCGGCTGAGGAAGACATTGCGACGGTGACGGTGATGTGCAATTAGTCTCCTTTCTCCACATGGTCCCAGGATTGGGTCGAACCTAAGTGGCGCGGCTCAACACGGAACGCCAACGCGGTGACAATGGAAGGTCTTCTCATTTGAGCTCCATAACTCCGTGGCGTTGGGGAGGGAAACTGGAATGCGTGGAAGGGCTAGGCGTCCAGTCAGCTATAGCCAAAAGATCTCGGCAATCTCTGGCCACTTGTGGGGGTGGGAACCCCACATCACTCTAAGGCCTTCACAGGCATCAGAATCACGTTGCAGTTCTGACTTCAACTCCTGCACTTAACAGCCATCAAACGAATGATTTGTCTTTATACTGACCTTTTCCAAGGATGACCCCCAACTCTTTTCAATCCATTGCGGGAGGAAAGAACTATCACCCTTGTCAATGGCATCATCACAACTTCTGCGGCTTCAGGGAAATCTCGGGACATTCCTCAGCTGGAAGTGGCCCAAATCTGTGGGCTGCTCACATCATGGTCTCCTGGTGAAACCCTGCTCCTTCACCACCCATCGTTCCAGATGTCATGCCCCACTCCTGGCGCATGAGCTGCAGCATGTGCTGCCGTTCGATCCTTGGGAGAAAGCAAGCCATCGACGCATCGCACCGCCTCTGTTGACTCAACCGGTGGTCCGGACCCGCTGGGTCCATGCTGCCGCCCTCGCTCGCCCCAGCTCCAAACACTCAAGCGATTTAGGAGCCATTCGCTCGGTTCCATCCCGAACCCCTCAACTGAGGTTGTGCGAGATGAAGACCAAAGGACCAAAGGAGCCTACCAAACGCTCCTTGAAAGGATCATGGTTCCGTGGAAAATTACCGCCACCACCTGTTTTGGCATTCGGACATCCATTCATTAGGAGCCAATCTGCTGCTGAATGGAGTGGACTGAGTGGACTTTTCTGAGAGGAACATGTTCTTTACATGTAAAGAAACACCGAGAAAGCGGTTGATCTGCCTGCAGAGATTCAGACTGCATCTTTTGACATGTAAAGAATCCATTCAATCCGATCCTTCAGTTCGGTCATGCCAAGGAGCTGAAATTCTGCCAGCATCTGCTGCTTCTCAATCTTGAACTTCTCCTCGCGGCTGACAGACGCACCGAAACAAACCGCGATAGAAGCAAGCCCAGGGAGCTGAACAGCGAGCGTCAGCAGAACGTGTTCGGCTCACCAAGTTGCAATCCGGAGCACCGGAAATATGTGTGGCCCCAATAGTGGTGTTTTTGACGGTCTCATAAAAAACAGGAGCCCACCTGGCAGATTCCCAGTTAAAATTGTGTCTCTACCATGAGGATTGCCCTCACCACTGATTTTGCTCTTTGACTCTGTTTCGTGTCTCTTCTACTGGTGGTCCCACAACACACACTGATGCCTACGAGGACATGTGGGGCAGCCCAAAACCCCTGCCCAACATGTGGATGTCCAAAATCGTCTCCTCCATTTCAAGGCGCAGCTTTTCCATGGGGTCTGGCATGTGTTGCCTCAGAGGAGCCGGTTCAGCGCCGGTTCGGGAACGAACCCCAAAACCAACGGCGGCAACGACTCGTTTGGCAGCGGTCCATCGGTCCAGGCGAGTGGTGCGAAGCTTCGGCGGGGGCACTGTTTGAAGCAGAAACTGCGAAGCTTCTGGCTTGTTGCTTGTATAGGTGTCGTTGGTGGAAACAGGGCACATAGATTGGAGGAGTGACAAAACCAAGGTCTTTGATGGAAGGAGCGATCCTATTGGGATTTCAGCTTCTTTTCAGCTTCATTAGCCGAATTATCCGAATTGGACCAACCACTTCTACACCACAAGGATCGATGATGAACACATTCAGTTCGATTTTGAAGCAAACGCCCATGCACAAAACCAGTTGGACTGCGAGAGTCAAGACATCACTTCGCATTCACACAAAAGCAGCACTTCAAACATGCATCCAGACCACCCGAACCACCCCACCTGGAAACCCAGCCCCAACCAAAAAAACAACTGGTTTGTTCCAATATGTCACTTGAAGTGTCACTTGAGATCCTTTACATAGAAGATCATAGAAGAAACATCCATTGGTTTCTGGTGCATTTCCTGCATCCAACCAGGTCTCCCCCCCACCCCATCCCCAAAGTGGAGTCCTCGCCCCACTGGTGGAGTCCTCGCGCCGGGCGTCCGAAGCGCCCTGGAACCGCTGGGAGCCGCTGGGTCGGCGTCCGCTAATTCGGCGCCGTCGCTCTCGTCGACGAAGAGTTCAAAGTCGCCATAGCAGGCCGCGGCCTTCTCCTGCGCCGTCGGTCGTCGGTCGTGGGTCTTTGGTGGAGGTCACCGGTGAAGAGTCACACGGGTCTCTGGCAGACTCTGGCTTGGCGACATGGGTGAAAAGATGTGAGAAGAAAACCTCTGAACCCAAAAAGTTCCTAAAGCTCCTGCGCCCGAAGCAGTGACGTGCTCGTCGCTTCGACCTGCTAAGCTCTCGGCGTCGCTTGCCGCTTCGACCTGCGACGTGCTCAGCCCCAGCCCCGCCGAGGTGTCGACGCGGTCGATTCCGTGAGACGGTCTCCTGAGCAAATCTGCGAATGGCTTCTTCATCAAGCCCACCTTGGATGCTATAGGGAGCATGGAAAGACTATCACGAGGTCATACAGAGTCATACACATTTAGCTGATAAAATTGCACCACTTCATCCAACTTCTGAGATCCACAACTCCCAATAGCTTCCATAGATTCACCAAATCATTAGGGTGTTGGTGCCATTCTACAAGTAACATCCACTGCTCTGTCTTCGCCCAGGCCACTGTTCAGGACTCTGAAGGAGTCGAACTGCTCCTGCCGCTCAAAACATTGGAAGCAAATGGCAGGAAAAAGACATCATTCACCGCCAAATGCCTTGGGTTAGTTCGATGTCCTTTGAATTCAGACAATGCTCCGCCATTCATATCATTAAAAATCTAAACCTCCAGACCCCTTCACCCAGCACCCGAGCTCAGGAAGACCTCACCTGCGCGCGCCGGCGCGCCACCGGACCCGCACCTCGGCACCTGACACCAAACGCTCGAGCTCGGCCACCTCCTCTCGGGTCCGGAGGATCTGCCCTTCGAGCTGCTCCACCTGACTGGTCCCGAACGGACGAGTCCCCCGCCAGTCACGAGCTCCGCTGCCCGGTCCGGGTGAGACCGCAAAAGCCTTTCGGTGGGTATGGTGGGGGCGGTCGAAAGCCAAAAGCAGTACTCAATGAGGTCAAGGACCAGGTTTGGAGCTTGGACTTGTGGGGACTCTTCATTGGCTAGCTCCTTGTGGTAGGTGTTGTTGCTGTAGGTCCCTTCACCTTCTAGCAAAGTTGTCGTTGGCTTGTTTGCTCACTCTCCAGGAGTTGAGGGACACATGGCGTGCGCGGTGAACCCCGAACAACCCCAACAAGAAACGACGACCGCGAATCCGCACGAGCGCACTCCATGTGCCCGTGTGCTCCGCAAGGCCTTCTCCAAAGTCTGCGCCTTCCTTGGTGAACCAAGGGACGCACACCCCTCGTACTCAGAGGAGATTGGTGGACAAAGGCCTTCCTTTGGACAGAGGCAGTGTATATATCAGTGCGGCCCCCCCTACCTGGATGGTCAAAGATGTCCAAATGAGTGGTGCTGCAATCGAGTCAACCTTGTGGCATTTAGGCATTGGAAAAAGGAACCGTCAACCTGCGGAAACCAGAGTTTTGCAATCATAGCCATCATGGAAAACAAGAAACAGTCAGCCTGCAGAAACCAGAGCTTCTGAAAACTTTGATCATAGCCATCTTGATGTTTCACCGCTGTGGAAGGGGCACCGGGAAGTTCGATGGGATGGTTTCACGAAGCGCGAGCTCATCCTCGGTGGTTCCATCATGGCACGACCAATCCCAGTAGTTCATAACCAAAAACATTGACTTTAAGGTCTCATCTAAAAATGTCTATTGTGGTCTGGGGAGTAGCGGTTGAGTAACCCACAGCTATCAAGTGCCCAGCTCGAAAACCATTGGCATCGACAAGCCTAGTCGCGACTTTGGTTGCTTCTGCCTTTGAGCGCGCTCCTGGCTTTGCTGCTGCTCCTTCCGTCGCCGGCAGGTCTGGCACCCAGAGGATAACACTGGCGCGAAAACTAAGCAGCAGAATTCCTCAGAACAGGGCTCCGTCCAAAACAAGACAGATACGAATATATTATTTAGTACTTATATACCCCCCTCAGCCTCAGAACTCTTGGCTCAAATCCGAAAGACGGTCTGTGGCCAATCCCGAAGTGAACCACCACTTGAGGTTTGAGCCACGAGTCTTGACGGGAATATAGCTTTAAACGTCCGTTAAAACAAAGGCATAAATATGAACGCTTACAATGCATCCGCACGTGGCAAACATCAGCGGATCACGAGAATCCTTGGAGAGGTCATTAACCATGGGATAATGAAGCAACCAAATGGTCGGTTAAACTAAATGGCGAGGACTAACCATGGAGGTGATTACCTTGAGAGGAAAAACAAATTCAAAAAACCACATCGAACAGCACAGCCACGGGGCTCCTTGCACAAGTGGCCAATCTCCCTGCGCTTCGCAGCCAACACACACTTGCCAAGCTCGCTGGCAAAGGCCGTGTTCTTCCAAGCTTCCTTCGCCGAGGTGAACAGTCAAAAAGGAGTCCAGTGCTGCGACACTCAGTCCAAGTGTCATCAAATGTCACATCGATCCCTCAATGAATCCAGACAGCAACACCCACCCACCGGCCAGGTGGGCGTCACTCGCTTTGACCCTTGTCGCCAGGCGCCTCCACGGTCGGCTTAGACTCCACAAGCAATCTGGCATGGGACTCCTGGCCGCTCAGGAGTGCCCTGCCCTCAGACGGGGACTCTTGGGAGCTGCTTTGCACTCAAACATGCTCAGTTCAGTGCAAAGCAGCTCTCAAAGAAGTGTTTGATGCTTCATCAAACAGCTGCACAACTGGTTCCATCTCTTTCTTTGGGAGCTGCTTGACCGTCCGACACCTTTTTCGTCCAAGCTCGTCTCAGATGTCTCAGCATCGTTTCAGCGGGTGGCCTGGCTGATGGCGCTCAACGCCGCCCTGCAACGGGCGGCCTGCAAAGCAAAGGCGCAGAACTTGCTGGGGTCCATTCATCTCCAGCCCTCGTTCCTAACTTTCGTCGCACTATATAGTCACTTAGTCGGATCTTGAGGTCTTTTGGACGGATGTCTACCGAAAATCGGATCCAAACGCGGAGGCGAATGTGCCGAAGGCGAAGTTGAGAAACGTCTACTGAACATCCTTGAACGTCTACGCTGTCCAGGAACCAGGATAAAGTTGAAAGCATATGTGTCATGGGATTCACTCGCTCGCAGGAAAAATATGATCATTTTGGAAACCCACTCCCAACCAGACAAAAATGAATGCTTCCACAGTCCCAAACCACTTGTTATGCACAGGATCTCAAGCAAGCCATCTTAAGTTCCAGCCATATATTTCTGGCAACCCAGGACGGTTCCATGGCCTCAGCTGCGCAGCGCTCGAACTTGGGCGTCGCCTCCTGAGCCGGATTGTCATTGGGGAGGGGTGGTTCTGGGGCAGAGCGGCGATCCCAACAGTCCAACAGATCCAAATAACTCTGTTAGATAATCTTGGCCAAGATAGGTGTGAGGTTTTATGGTACCATGTGTATGGTACGTTGAGATGGGTATGGTACTCTGTTAGGCTCAAAATATAATTCTGGTAGCTTCCAACAGATCTGTTGAATGTTCTGTCTTTCTTCGGTAGATCCGATCACAGATCCACAGATCAGTCCAGCGCTGAGATGTTCATCGACAAGAAATCTGCCATTCCCAAGAGGTCCCTAGCTGACAGTCGACTCATGCACTGCCCGGGCCCTGGTATACTGGATCCTGACTGCCAGGTGGGGAGAGACTCATGAGTCCAAACGGACGTTCTTGGAGAACGCTCACAAGCTCACAGGTTCACGGGACAGTTCGACCGATGGTGATTCTGATGATTCTGGATGATTCGCGTGTGGTTCTCCAGGCGAGCATCAGGAACAGAGATCCCATGAGGAACGGAGATCATCAGTAGAGCTGGCTGATGTATGCCACAAACATCTACACACCTCAAACAAAGATCTCCTTATCAAACAGCTGTTCGTCTTTACTTGGAACAAATATGCTAGGCTACAAATGGTGCCTATAAATGAATGTAATATATCTTTGTACCAGTGCCTGGGACAGGTATATCTTGAACCCCACGGGCCACCTCCAGCGGTGCCTCCTCCGCAACAGCCGTCCCTCCGCTCCTGGTAAGCCACCTTAGCAGCTCTCAGCGCTCCAGTTGCCACCTCGTCTGCGGTTACCAGGTCCTCCTGACGTCGAAGAAACAGCTTGATTCACCGGAGTTCTGGTCAAAGTTTAGTATCAGAGAATATCATTGAACTCAATGACCATGGAAGAATTGCACTATACCAAGACTATACCCATGTTATAAGATTAAACACCAACAACCTGGCTAGGTAGGAATGCTCCAAAATCCAGATTGGACATCCTCTGATTAAACTTCAACTTCAGACATAGTTTTTTCCAGACGAAAAACTTCTCCAGGCCTCCAAGATGACCACAGCCTCATCCCGGATGAAAGCCTTTTGGTATTCCTCCCATGCCCTCTGGTGCGCTTTCTCAGCCTCCTCCAGCTCTTGACGTTTGACAGCTTCCTCCCGCAGAGTGACACGACGCAGGCTGGCGCACCTGCACAAGCATACTCGTGGTGCAGCTAGGGACAGAAAGAACACAGATCCTCCAAGAGAGGTTCAGTGACCTTATATAGGACCCGTAACCTGGGGTGCCTATGGGATAGTCGAACGTTCGGGTTCTTCAACCATCTTCAACCTCTGTTGCCTTGGCATGTCTACCATCTTTCTTTCAGAAGGAGCATAAGGCCCGTCCTAGATGTGTTTTTGCTCTTGGGAAATCCTGAGAAAAGCATCAGTTATATAATCCCAGACACTCCATGGGACTGCCATAGGACTGCCGATCAGGGCAGGGGTGGTGCCAGGGGGGTCAATGGGGCAGCATATATGGCATACATGGAGTGTCTGGGAATTATACTTTATACTCTGTATGTTGATTTGATCGATAGTTTATAACTTATAACGGTCTTCAATTTCAATCGAACAAAAGCCAAAAACAAAGGCTCTCACCGCACCTCTGCTTCTTCCCACGCACGTCAGCCTGGTGTTCCTCCAGCCGGGCGCACAACGCCTCCGCCGCATCATGCTTCGAGACAGCGAGGTCCGCCTTCCGCTGCAAGGCCTCTGCAACGGAGAGCTTGGCATGGACCGTGTCGTGCAACGGCGGAAGCTTGCTGCGTCGTAAGAGCCTTGTAGCTGCATCCTTGGTTCCTTGGACGTGTAACTGGTGCAAGTTGCTCTGCATCTTGTCGTACTCATGGGCACTCGTGTCGCACGTGTACATCTCATTCACTGCCTCTTCAGAGAAGGACTGCAGAAGCGCCTGTCGGATGGATTTGTCTTGCACCTGGGCAATCGCCGCCTTGGTGTTCTCCACCACACTGGCTTCCGTACCGAACTCCTCAGTCAGGAGCGTCCGCAAGTTCGCATAGAGCTCCTCATTGCACAACTCGACCACTGAGCCCACCGTCTCCAAGGCCGAAAGGCCAAAGAACTCACATTCAGCAGCGCAAGCCACCGCTGCCTCTCCGTCACGGCGGATGAGGTCGGCACTGTCCGTCGAGCAAGGCGCGGGTCTCAAATCCAAGATCTTCAAGTTCTCTTCCTCACCGGGCGAATGTAAGTTCATCACGCCTGGCAAGTCTCGCTCGCTGAGGCGGCGGAGGATCTCCGCGTGCAGCGCACGCTTGGCATCCCACTGCTGGGTGGTTTGGGCCTCAAAGCTTTGCAAGAAGCTGTCTGGTGACGCAGCCATGGCAGAGTGGCGCGTTCTGGAGGCCGTTCTGGACGGCGCGTTCTGGTGACGGGCGCAAGTTCGATGGCTTCGGGGCTCAAGAAGCAAGCCAAGGCATAAAGGACACATCATTGGAACGAGTGATCTCCCAAAGCATCACAGAATCAACCTATAGTCATGCTTTCCTTCGTGCGCAATCACAGGCGGAGAAGCCTTTTCCGAATCCCACGGGCCGGGCGGTGGCACCGGAAGGGCGAACGCCCATGCGGTGCCATGTACACGGTACACCAAGTCTTGGCCGTGGGTCATGGCAGCTGGTGGCATCCTGACCATACAGGGAGCTGTTCATTTGATCCGCGGTCAACCAGGTTTACAGGGTGCCATGACCCACAGCCACCCTTGCCATGTGACGAGGCCACCCAAACTTGACAGCGTTGTGTTGGGACTGCGCACTCGCACCAGCTTCAAACGGAGGTGATAGGGGTCCGTTTGAAGGAAAAAGGAGCACCTTTCCCATATCTCCGTTCGACTCGTATATTGTCACTCCTGGCATGGATAGACACAATGAATCCGGCCACGTGTCAAGCTGGGGCCTTCAACGGCCCAACGAAACCGGCTTCGTCGTGCCTGCGCCTGACCGCGCCGGTCGACCCGACCGCCGCGCCAGCGGCGGCTCGCTGTCCGCGAGCCGATGGCGACCTCAGGTGGCCAACCGATCGCCGCGAGGAGGTCCACAGGTGGGGCCAGGCGCCCTGCGTCCTGTTCTCACGACGATGGGGATATGTTGGGTTCGCTCTGTGAGTCTGAGCTCGAAGGAGAGCCTGCTTCAAATCGAGGAAGGAAGATGTTTAAGAGGGACATGTTTACTCTCAATAGAGAAATGTATGTGCATGTTGCAAAATGTTTAGGAAGACCTTCATCAGGCTTTAGAAAAAACAAAATGATATGAATCAACATAGGAGTTTTGAAAGTAACATGCAAAAACAACTGCTATATAAACAACACAAGCGAACGGGGTCACAAGCCGTGAGGGAGTCACTCAAGCGATGCGATTGATTTCATGAGTGAAGCGGGCGGCTCGTTTTCATGAAGAAACCGTCTTTGAGTTTCTTGCTTAGTCTTCAGGGTGGCTGCCAACCCGCGAAGAACAACCCGGTTGCAAAGCCTTACAAAACATCTAGTAAAATGCACAAAAGGTGAAGATCCAACTTCTCTACAGTTGCAAATTTCATTGCCCTTGGTGCTGCAGTGGAAGCCACCCTGGTAGACCGTTGCCCATCTTTGGGGCCACAAGGGCTGGCTCTACGGTGCTTTCAGAGCCAGCCAGACTCTCCGATCCAACCACTCTGCAGCTGGCGCCAAGCGTTTGAAGGCCACAGCGGGTAAAGCTTCGGCGACCCCTGGAAGCTCCACGGTCTTCTTGCCGAAGCATCTCTGCAGCGCTTTGGCTGCAACGTGTGGGGCACTGTCATTGAGCATGTAGTAAACCAAAGCCTCTGCTCGGGGGTCGTCACGCTGCAAACTGTCGATGGACTCGATCGTCCAAAGCAAAAGCCTCTCGAAGCAAAGCTCTTTGGACTTTTCTTCAATCAAGGTTCGAAGAGCTGCCTGTCCCTTCTGTCCAAGGTTGAAGGTCTCGAAAGAAAGTGGATCATCTTTGCGAAAGCTGGTCCTAGTAATGTCTTTCACAAGATCGGAGTCTATCTCATCTGTCGGAAGAAGCTGAACAAGTGTGCGTGCCCTCGTTCGAACCTGCCGGTCGGGATCATTCAGGCGATGCGCACTGTCGAGCACCTTCTGCTTTGACTCCTCGTCAACCAAATCATTGCTGAAGATGTCGAGCCGCCGCACAGCACGAAATGCTGCATAGAAGATTCCTGTCTCTGGATCGGTGCCCAGACAGGCTGCTAGCAGCGCTGGAATGTGTGGCTTGAGACTTGGAATGGCATCGAAGTTGCCAAAAGTCTCAAACGCAGCCGCTCGCACCGACTCATTGCTGTGTTGCAGAAGCTTTGCCAAGTGAGGCAACAAAGGCAACGATTCGGAGATGGTTCCCCATGCTTGAAGCACTGCGCAAACGCGAGTGAGGACAGTGGTGTCTTCATTCTCAAAATGCTTCTCAATCAGCGACACAGGTAGTGAAACATCCCACTGTCGTTTCCTCAGCTCTCCCAATAATTCCGAAGCTTTAAGCTGCAAAAGCACAGGGGAAGAATCTTGCTCAATGACTCCAAGGAGGGAGTTCACATGCTTCTCATTGAATTCTGGAACAAGGGCTTTGGCAGTCTGCAACAAATAATGTAGCCAGCCTCCGTTGGCATCTGTTACTGTAACAGACACCAGCAACTGCAGAATTACATCCACGATCCTAGGCTTTGGCCCTTTGATCACAGCAGCCAAACCCACCAAGCGCTGTCCACGCTCATCGTGCTTGCACTCCAGCAAGAGTTTTGGCAAAATGTTTGTCAGCCGATCCATACGGCCACACTTCAACAAAGTCTCCGCAGTGTCTCGAAGACAACTTCCTGAGTCTTGGCGGGCAGGCCAAAGGTCTGAATCTTCAATCAATTGAAGAACCTTGTCATCCCAAAGAACATCTGCATCTTCTCCAAGCCACTGGACTGCGAAAAGAGATCGCAGGAGCAAATCCGATTCTTGGTCGGCGTAGTTGCCCTGAGCTAACTGCTTTTCTACCAGCTTCACGCCAAGATCTCGCTTCAATCCTAGAACCACCCATGCACACTGGCGGACATCAGAGTTTTCATCCTCGAACGCTGTCCGCACAAGCGCCTCCGAGTGTTTTGCAAAGTCGTCCTCTGAAGCCCATGCAAGAGACCGACAAACAGCAGCTCGGACCTCGTCATCAGCATGGGATAAGTTGACATTGTAGGAAAGCACTGCTCTGGCTGCCTCCTTTGTGCACATCCCTCCCAACAAAATGATGGCCCGCGTTTTTTTCCTCTTCCGAACTGTCCGACTTCAACATCTTCAAGGGTTCGGCCAACAGATGTATTGGATCGCGACCGATCCGGCGTGACTCAAAAGCAAGGCTTCCTTCAACTAACACTCTCCACGTAAGCAAAACTTCACTCCTTGGGCTTCGGTCACTGTTTATGGGTGCAAACACCTGCCACTTGGAAAGCATTGAACTGGCCTCCTGAAAGGACAGGGCTTTGCTGGCACAGTACGCCACAACTGCTTCACACGCCCTTTGGCCCTTCGCATGCTGCACCAAATCCACGCCAAACTGCGACTCCGACGAGCTAAAGGGGAAACCGTAGGTCTCCTGCAACTCTTCGACCCTGCTCCACAGATGTCGTTCGGCTGTCTGCCGAAGGCTTCTGGGTGTGTCATCCGAACGAACCACTTCCTTGAGCACGCGGAGCATCTCGGCCTCCCCGGCTTCGCCGTAGTAGCCACTGAACCACACGACGTCCTGGACAACGATCGACCCGGATCGAGCGAAGATCTTTTATGATCGTGCCGCAACACCAGCTGTTTTGTACGCACGCACTATAGCCACTATAGCCACTATGGCATGTTTGTTCTAATTTTATTGGGTATAGTCTGTGGACAGGCAATTCTGGAAAAAAAAAAACTTCTACAGTATCAACAAAGAAGGTTCCAATCACCAAAATCGATTCGGCGCATTCAAAATATTACGTAAGCGGTTAGTGGCATGTCCTAGGAACAAAGCATGGGACACGTTTGCTTGCCGATATGTGTTTGAAACACTGGCAATTGGAACGGTTGCGTCCGCTTTTTGTGGGGGGCAAAAGCTTCAAGTTTCGTGCTGCAGCAACAGAACCTCTCTTTCGGAAAATCCACTTCCAGTCCGGAGATGCCTACTCCCAGACCCGAACCACATCACATCGCCAACGCGTGACTTCATCGGATCACACATCATCCCACATCACCTCACTGATCACTTCACTGCATGGCGCGTCACAATATCACAAAACCAGGACAGATAACATTGAACCACAGAACGGATTGGTAGGCTACGGGGTCCATATCTGCCAGCCTCAAAGCTACTTACTCCCCCCACTCCGCAGAACAACCCTCCATCTCCGTCTCCACAAAACCTGTTCACAAGGACGTCTCAAAGATTGTAGGAATGCCATACATGCACCAACCGCAAATCCATCCAATACCCGCACCAGCCAGACAATAAAATCGAGAAGATACCAGATTTAAAAAAAGGTAGGGGCGGAGTTGGTGCAAGTACCGTAGACATACGCACTGGAAAGCAAAGGCAACACATCATCAGACAGATCACCATCAACCACCCTTCTATACCCTTCTGCTCTTCACCTCTGATAATTTCCCAGATCACTCTGTGAGAGTGAGAATCAACGTTTGTATCTCAGCGCCCCAAAAGAGGAAATCAAACTTGACAAGAATATCGGGAGTAACTGGGACGCATAGTTCATCCAGCGCAGTGGCTGCAATTGGAACATATATCAAAAAGGAACCCACAAATCAATTGTGCAGATTCTATGACAAGCAAAAGAACTCAGTGGCTGAAAAAAAGACTTCACTTTCCGCAACCCATCCTCCAAATTCCTCTGGGTAATGCAGTCCATTGGCCATGGCACTTTGTTCATGACCATCCAGGTCAAACAAATTCCCCTGCCCAGAAAAAATGCCACACGTCTTGGCGACGGCGATCACGATGTTCAAGGCAATGAAGGGCGAGATCGCCGCACCTTGAGCCACCCGCGTGAGATCGACGAACGAACGCCGAACGCGCCGCGAACGTTACAACGCCGAAGCCGCGACGAATGGGCGCCGAAGCACGGCCAAAGAGGGAGTTTCGGGCGTCCGGTTTCGGGGAGTTTGGGGCTTGGGGCTGTCCGACCGAAGGCTGGGCGCGTGGTGTGCGTGCGGCGAACGTGTGGCGAACGTGTGGTTTGAATTGAACACATTCCCCCATCGTTCTGCGGCAGTCTCAGACGGGGCTCCCTAAGAAGAGATCATTCGGCATTCGCACACAACTCCCATTGCCCGCCTTCGGTGTAGCGTGAGTAGGCGGTGAAGAACAACGCCACGGCAAGCTGTGGCAAGTCCTCCAACAAGCACAGCACACGACGATGCTCTCGCGTGGTGTCTTCCATTTGCTTTGCGCAAAAGACCTTGAATCGGTGAAACATGCCTCGCTGCTGAACGTCATCATCCTCATCCACTACCTGAGCTTGGTCTGCCGGTATGGGCCAGTAGGAAGCCCTCATAAGCTGCTCTGTGGCAGGATCCATGTAATTGAAGATGTTCGGGACAATCATGGTCAATATGACGACCGCACTGCAAGCGTAACCTGCTGGGTGCCCAAGGTTTGCGTAGATGCCAATGGACACAGTGTCTTTGACGAGGTCATAGCGCTCACTGAGGACGGGCATAATTGCGCTGAGGAACTTTGCTGGAGAAGCTCCGCAGATCAAGTGGGTTGCGATGGTCTCAATAAGCCAGAAGGAATAGATCTCCCAATCCATTCCATAGGCATTGAGGTATCCCTTTCGGCACGCCCAAAATACCAGCGCCAAGCCCAGGTATGTGTAGGTCATGTGGTACACCACAAAGCCAACGGTAAGGCGGTGCGCTCGTTCTTCTTCGGGCGCCTCCACAGCATCCTCGTGATCCTCATCTGGTTTAGCCTCTCCTTCCTCGGTCAATTCTTCTGACGCACCCTGGCCAAGCAGCTGATATCCGGCCTCGACTTTCCGTTGGCGCTGACAGCACCTTTGCATCAGAGGTAGCAGCTTCAGGCACATGATCGTCAGCAGGACAGATGAGCCATAAATCCACATTGCTGCTCGCGTTCGCCTCATGCGTTCGCTTTCCAGCATCTTCGTTGGTAGCACCTTGACTGCATGAAGGGGAGGCCGCAAGTCTGCCACCATCCGTGAAGCCCATGAGACATCCATGGCACACAGAGAGCTCTTCGAAGTCCTTTGGACTTGGAGCCCTCACAACTCGTGTTGCATCTGAGATGAGCCAGGCTGTAGAATGCGGGATGAGGAGAATGCGCGACGAGAATGCTGGGTGGTTCAAAAAAAGGCATCTTTACATGAATGCGCAGAGGTTCAAGTCCTAGATCCCCTGATGTCAAGCTCTGTTACACTCCTTGAAATCATCATAGAAGCGGAGTGAAAAGAACGGGCACCTGCTTGGTATTCGGAGTGAAAATGGTCATCTAAGGCAGGTCCAAGAGGCCATTCACTCATCCACTTCCATCATGGTTTCAGGGAGGATCCCAGCAGGTTTCACTCTGAGATGCATGCCAGGAGGATTTTGCAGCTCCATCAGCTGCTCCTGAAACAAGTAGCTAGACTGAGCTGACGCAATTCACGCAGACAGTCATTGGTCAGTCTCGGAGCGTCTGAACTCCTATGAGTTCCCACAAAAAAAAGAAAGAAGCGATTGATCTGCTTCGAAAGGCGGCCCGGCTTACTGTTGGGGGCGGTCACTCGAACAAGGATTTTCCTGGAACCAACAAACCATGCTGTTCTTCAATATTCCATCACTAATGCGACCCTGCGACCTCGGATACTTCAGCCCCCCCTTACAGGCAACAAGGAAGGTAAATACTCTTGCAAGCACAGCTCTTTGCACGCCTTTTAAAGTAGATCCTTTCTTCCCTGCTGGGAAATAACCTGCGGTGACTTCCAAGACCCTCTGACCCTTTGTCTCTGGGCATGGCATCCTTCACGCACACCCACGAGGCAACGCCGAGCTTGGAAAGCCATGGCCGCCAACAGCGGAACGTCAGAGACCGCGGAACCCCCCCCCAGCGCGACTCAAACGGCCAACGAACAGCGGACTCGGACGTGGGAGGAAGAAGTCTTTCACAGAAAATGGATGCCAAGATGGGAAAATCATGGAAAATCAGCAATCTCATTGGCTCATGTGCTTCTTCCAACACTCTCATTTGCAGTGCTTTTCAAACCTCACTGTTTTCCAACTCGCAACGGTGGGAGCCAACTCCTTTTTTCCAACCGGCTCTTGCGGTCGAAGTAAGGCCCTCGAGTCGGCGTGAGCCAACTTAGTCAAAAGCGCAGCACGCAGCGCGCGAGCTGCGATCGTTGGACAGGGCAGCTGTACACCAAGACTCTTGGCTTGTGAAGAGGAGATACATGGAGATACCTAACCCCCCAAAATATCCCCAAACATTGAATCTGTGTTGCGTTCCTCTGTTCGTGGTCGCACTGGTTTTTATGGTCGAAGCGTTTTGATGAACCTCTGGTCCGGGGTGCACTTATATTTTTGGGCCATTACTGCATTAAGAATGGCCTGGATCTTCTGCGGTGAACATGGCGGATGAACCAGCCTTCCATCCCTGGCACAACCTGTGGAACTAGCACACATCCTTGGCAACATGTCAAGCAGGGATGGCTTCAATTCGGGCGCTCAACCTGCTGGCTGCTGGGCAGGGCAGGCGCTGGCCAGATCGAACTGAGGGCCTGCAGAGCAGCCCGCGAGAGGTCCGTGCATGAAGAGAACTCGGCAATGGCTATGCCTCCGTGCTGTTTCAACTCGCTTTTCCAACACACCACCCTCTGAAAAAAAACGAAGGACAAGGACCGAAAGTGGGCCGACAGGAGATCTCCAAGTTGGCAACCCCGTCCCAGTCAAACCGTTTTGGCCCATGTTCCCGGTTGAGCTTGGCATATCCAGTTTCCGAACTTCGACCCAACTGGACATTTCGATGGACGATTGGCACCCCCTCTGCCAAGAACTGCGGGTGGAGGCACTATAGTATGATTATAATAAGAGGTCGAAGCACTCACCTGCAGGGTCTTTCCAGCACCTACCTACGGAGGTTGAAGAGCTTTGAACTGGGGCCCGGCCTGCCAGATACCACTTTTCATTGTTCTCTTTCCAAGCTTTAAACCAGGTCCTTAGTCATTCAGTCTTCACGTGCCCCAAACGCCACGCCCGAATATGCACACGGAACGAGCCAGAGTCCGAGCTAGAGAGAGTGTCGGGAGGGTTGGAGTCCGGTCGCCCACTGTTCCCAAATAGATAGTGGCATGGTAGTTTCCAATATGTGTTTGGTGATCTACTGTTCTATCTATTTGGGGGTCTATATAACCTTTAATATCCTTTAATTATATATTAAAAAATTACATATTAGTGCGCAACTTTGCGGACTTTACACGACAAGCACCGGGGTCTTTCTCGAACTCGTTTCATGGTCGAAGGGGTTCGGCGAAGGGGTAAAACATCAGGTGTTTCCTCCCCTTTTGGGTCCATGTGCAGACCTTCGCGCAGTAGAGTTCTTTGATAAAAAATCCGATTCCCAGACACGACAAGAACCGGGAAAGAGCCCACTCAGACCTGTACCATGCTCCCCTATCCACTATTACCTGGCTTTGGAGGACCCCATGTTGGGTCCTGCGGCGGAGTCCACCGTGCGGCCGTGCGGGGCCACACGCGCGAAAGCCAGACGTCGCCAAGGGTCATGGCTTCGTCGCTTCCACCCTTGTCACTATGCAGCCTCGAAAAACCCAGAAGTTGATGACTCAGCAGTTTTGGTGCTAGACAAGCACCGTATTACGGACCAGCAAACATGCCAGTTGAAAGGTCCAAACAATTCGAACGTGTCATGTATGTTCAAGGATTCCACTTCTTCCACGACTCTTCTTGTGAGGTGACCACCTGCAAGTCACTGTAAGTCAACAAGAACAGGAAAGCTCCCTGTTGGACAACATAAGCTGCACCCATCCTCCATCGACCGAGAAAGCACGGCCTCAATGGCACGGTCTTCAGAAGCTTCCTCTTCTCCTCCTGGGCCGTTCACCAATAAAGGTTGAAGGACCCGAACTAGCCTATCCCATAGGTACCCCAGTAAGGTCCTATAAGGTCACTAGACTTAACCTCTCTTGTTTCGGTTCAGATTTTGCAGAAACAAAACGCAAAATCATTGCTCAGGTCCTACGATCAGCTTTCAGGAAACGAGGAAACGATCGTTGCTCATAGTAACGTGATGTAACATCATGATCCGAGGTCAACTGAAGTTCTCAAAACCCAAAACGGCACACGTCATTGACGTAGTTTGCAGCTCCTTGGGACCCTTCCAAATGCTCATCAGCTCATTGACAGCTGCTTGAGTCAATCTCCTGGCTTTCTCTTCAACCGGCTGCGGCGGCGTCTCCCAAATGAACTCCGTCGATGCCTCGAGCAGTGGAGAACGAAGGTCACGAAGGTCATGCTGCGGCTTTTCCTTCCTCGGATAATAACTGGATGAATCTTCTTTGGAGGTCACTGGCACGACTCCTGGAGCCGTCTTTGGATCTGAATCAGCGGTCGCTGCATCCGTGGGGCCGCTTAGGAACCTTGGAGTTGCTGTCCAAGGTTAGCGGCAAAAAAACTAAAGCACAGTTTGCCAGAAGGGAATTCACCCAGTTTACCGAAACGAACAACAACCTCACCCCGGTGAGTAAGAAAGCCCAAAACCTGCGCACACAACAACATTCCGGGAACTCGGGCGGCTTCGGCTTGTCCTCCGGATCCTCAGATTCTTCAGGCTCCAGAAACGCAGCACGAACTTCATTCCGATGACTTCGGCTTCGATCCATCGCGGTGGCCACCAGGTACTGTAGGTCCTCCGGGAAATGGGCTCGGCTCGGCTCGACGGTAGCCCCACGAGTCGAACACGTCATCAAGGCCCGAGAGGGGAAAGAAAAGCATTACCTGGGAAGCCAAACAACCAGAAACAAATGGATGTTTCCCCAAACAGCCATTTCCTATGTAAGGATGTCAATTGCCATAATGGGAACAACCATTTGTTTCTGGTTGTTTGGGTTTCCAGGTACATCTTGGAATGCCAAGTCATGGAACCCCCAAGTGAAGTACCCTCCCCGGAAAGGCTCAACAGACTGCACTATGACGCGAACAGAAACCCGCATCCTAAGTCACATGCGTTCTCAAATGTGAGCAGCTTGCGAAAGTCTTTGGGTTACACGGCAGCACCACAAACCGCACACCAGACCCTTGTACATGAGACCCTTCCAGCAACACTTTGTTCATCTTTGTTCCTTCCTCCTCATCCACCCCCCAAAAAAGGCAATCACGGTCGCTCCCGAGATCTCCCGAGTCAACTCACATAGACCCTGACTGTCTGGTCGCGTCCGAGTGTTTTCCTCTACCAACCGACGTGGTGTACTCAGGGTCCATGCGATGCTAGTCTTCCACCAGGGTGTACTCCACCTACCGGATCTCCACCGCCCAGCGCCATCCGCCTCTCGGATCTCCAGCTTCAACTCCTCGGCCGACGGCGCTGAAGCCTTGAAGTCGCTCAGCTCCCGTCGCAGCTGCTGGACGCGGTGCTTCTGCGCCTCCAACTCCGCCTGCGGAACCCGAGGTGCTTCAGCACGTCGCGCGAGCGGTTCGTGTCGTTTGGCTCGTGTCATGTGGTTCGAGCGGGGTTCTTTTCTTGGTGCCCAAATGAGGATCCCCTTCGGTGGGAGGATTCCTGTGGCGTTCAAAGAGGGATTCAATTCCTTTCAAAAGGAAATTGAAGGCTCTATTGTTTCGGGTTGATGAGGCATCTCATCAAATGGAAAGCTTCAAAAGCAAACATGAGGAGGACGGAGGATGAGGAGGGGATCTCTGCCCAGGTTGAGCAACATCCACCACTTGCTACCTGGGGGATCACCAAGTATGCGTGGCGCCAAAATAGGTTATTACTGGAAGTCCAACAAGATTCCTGTGCGACGGTTCACTTACTGTATGCCTTATATGATGATGCTTAATTGAACACCAGTAACAGCCCTCGCCACATTAACCTTTCCGATGAAAGTGATCTCTAGAGATACCATGGTATTCAGGAATTCAAGGCTGCTGTTCATCCTCCAAGTTCTGCTTGGAAACATCCCCACGGACTGAAAGTCCTGGGTGAATTCACCCCTCTGAAAGTACTGTAGAACTGTTCACCCTGCAGTTTAGACTGTGCAGACTCACAGACCCACCTGAAGCGTGTTCAAGAGCTCTTTCTGCTGGTGGATGACGTTGTGCTGCCTTTCCGCCTGTAACTCTTGCTCTTTGGAGCGTGCTCGCTGATCCTCCAAGTCCTGTGCAATTGGCCCAAAGGGAAAACCGAACGGATAGACCCCAAACCCGACAACCCCCGACCTACACCTACACGAGCCACCAGCGCACAAATAGTAGCCATACACGCATTCCCAAAAGCGGCACTCCTTGGCTTGCAGTTGCACCGTGCGTCGCAATTCCGAAAGCTCACCCTTCAGCGTTTCGAACTCCTGCTGGGCCCAATCTGCATGGGCGTAGTATCCATGGAAGTACACCTGGGACCGGGGCAACCGCGGGAGTTCTCAAGACCCAATGAAAATGAGATGGGTACATGAGATGACTTGTGGAATGTGTTCATACCTGGATGTCCAAATCTTGCTCTTTTGAGACCTGGGGTTGACCCTTTGGAACCTTGCAAGAACTAGTAGGAAAGGACCACCTAGTTATTTTCCCACCAACCACAGCAGCATGGTGGGCGCCTGCCAAAACGCCATCTGATATGAGATACCACCATATGTTTTGGATTCCGCTCAGGTACGTGAGAGCCGGGCTTGAGAGCGCATTCATTGTGGTTGAACTCGCCGTCGTCGGGCAAGGAGCCCTTGAGATAAGTTCGATTTGCAATGCTCTCCCACTCCAAATGCCCGCCATTGACATGCTTCCGAACATACTTGTAGTTAAACGGTGCTTGCTCCATCTCCACCTGCAAAGGCAAATTGATGTGGATGCACATCAGCTGTAAGAAAGACTGCCGCAGCTGCAGTTTCCTGTTTTATTGAAGCACAAAATTACTGATGTGAAGTCAAAATGAGAAGTGCAAGGGTGGCCACAGCGGAAAGCACGTCCCACGTCCCACCCACCTCGACCTGCCACTTGGGAAAGAATCCGGGTTTGGTCTCCAGCTCTCGAGCACCTTCCATCTGCCAACCTCCAAGCTCTTTGGCACCTGATCCAACGGGTATGCAGCTGGTGTTGTCTTGTTCCAAACAAATGTGGATGTGGGTCAAAAGCCCCATACCCACCCAAAGAAGAAAACACCATGACGATGTACCCGTCAACTTTCGCCTGTCGCAGTTTAAGGATGTTTAAGGTGTTTTGTTGAGAGCCACATGCGCTAGAATGCTAAAGCACAAAAACCATGCACCGTGAAAAGGCAGGACCTCCGGTGTCAACCTCCCGTTCTCGAACCCTACAAGCCCACAAGGGAATCTGGGAGCTCCAAAGACGAAACCAACAATAAACATGTCAAGTGTACTATAACTGCCATCCTGCAATAGCATGGAATTGCATACTGTGAATTGAAGTCAAATATGTATATAGTATATACAGTTACAGTATATTACAGTATATACATTGCCATCATCCTGCAAACATCATGCAGCAGAACTGCATCGTGGATGCAAACCCTTCTACAACAGCACACTTTAGGTATATCCCATTCCTTGTAACAGTGGATGATGATGGTGAGTAAAGACCTTTCTCAACAATAGTGATAATCTTGCACTGCCGGCGATACTGGCTTACTGGGTGGCACATGGTTCGTTCTCACTGCACCTTGACGTCTTGCCCTCTGGCAGAAACCCCCTCGGTCTCTCGGTCTGCCACGTGACTTCCGAAGACGAAGATCCGGTCTCCCGGCATGGCATCCTTCACGGACACCACGAAGCGGTGCCGGACCCGCGGCATGCCACACACCGCACTGGAGGCGACGACAAAGGACTGCGGGGTCCGAGGGACAGCTTCTAACATGCTCAATCGTGGACAGCTTCTATGATGCTGCATACGATTTAGTTGTGCTTTCATGTGTTGTTTCAGTTCAAACCAAATCTGACTTGAAATTCCTCAGTGGATCGCGTGCATCATCCTGCAGAGGGCGGACACAAGCCTTTGGGTTTGGACGTTCACAAATGTTTGCATGGAGAGATGTTGTCTTCCCCCCACATGGTTCTTTGACTTGTGCCCAAACGCAGCCAAGGCTTCGGTCGCCAGCCATGCCAAGAGAACACAGGGGCTCGCAACAAAGACAAGGTGCAAAACTGGAATTCACACCCAGACACTCCATGGGACTGCCATAGGACTGCCGATCAGGCCAGGGATGGTTTGGGGGGTCAATGGGGCGGCATATATGGCAGTCCCATGGAGTGTCTGGGACATGGTGCGAAACTGATGCCAAACTCCACGCTGCAAGGCATGAAACCGCTGGATTGATGCATCACATACGACAGAGAACATCTGACAAGACATATGTGTATATAATATACTATAATATAGTAATCCTGGAGCAGATTGAATATGGAAAATCCAAAAAAACAGTAGGGAACTAAGTAGTCCTGTTGCTGGATTGGTTCATATTCTATCTATATACTCCAGGATGGTTGTATGTTAAACAATTTGCAAACACCATCGTGAAAACCAAAAAGGAACAGTCGGGGTCCGCAGGTTTCATAATGTTTCATTCACCTCCCCAGCGTGAAACAATCCTTGACGAGGTGTTGAAAGAACTCAGAAGACGTCGCACTCAGATCCACGATGAAGTCGCTTCCCTCAAAACCAAAGGAAGAACCCACCGTCCCCTTATGTTGGAAACCCATCTGCTGAAGCAGCATCACACGATGCCGTCACCGGCCTCACCGACCATCCCAGGCGCATGGCAAGTCCAGCCCAGCCCTTTTATCTTGCATCGGTCCAGCCCCTAGGGAGCCAGGAGTGGCAATTGGCACGAATTAGAACGGCTCACCGATGGACGTCGGAGTGACCTGCGGCAGCTGCAGAGCGTGCCGAGTGGAGCTAGAAACGGCCGTGACACCACGGTGCTTCTTTTGTGTGGAAAGGGGGTAGAAACGGCCGCTGTTCGCCAAGCCATTCCCTAGGATTCCGGGCACACCGATGAGGATTCGCCCTGGTGTTCCGAACCGGGTCATTCTTTTAAGAACGGAACTTGACCATGATTTGGCACTAAAATAACCTCAGAGCTGTCACAGTCCCAACAAGAAATGGTCCAAGAGAAGTCAAGGACTTCCAGGCCAGTGTTCGGACTTCCGCGTGGCCAGGTGTGTTCGGTCACTTTCGGTCTTCACCTCCACCGACGTGGTTTTTAGCGCGAAAGCCGCTCGAAACCCGAAGACGCGCCGAGGGTTTTCTTCACTCTGGTTTCGGCCACCGGTGAAGGGTTTCGATATCCGTGCCCCAAACCTCTTATCTGGTGGAGTTGGGAGGAGAATTCCCCCCTAAACCCTCTCAACCGCCCCCCTCTCTTTTAGAAAAAGACATGGGTGAGCTGCAAATTAATCCACCTCTCCTGGCTGAATCAGGTGAGACTGAGACTTCCCCACTCCACCGCTGGCCGTCGTCGTTGAACCGCCCCCCCCGCCCCGGCCACAGCGAACTGTGCGATGGATGCGCCAACGAACTGAGGAGGGGGTGGAACACCCGGAGACTCGCCGATGAACGACTCAGTGATTGGGAGAACCCAATCAATTGCGAGTGCATGCGAGTGCCGCTCTTTTTTTTGGGGGGGGGGTGAAGAGAACAAATCACCCCGCCAAAAAAGGAAAACAAACATATGATTATAGTTGAATTGGTGTGAGTTGTGTTGTTGAATTCCAGTTCACTGTTCGTCTTGTGTGTTTTGCAACCGGTCCTTCTGGTCGAACCGGACAGACTCCATCGGCGACACGAACGACGAGCGTCGGTCATGTCATACGACGCGTTTCCGAGCCTGGCATTCCGGCATCGCCGAGCTACTGTATCTCGCGGCAAAAGATGGCATCATGTTGCCCACACAAAAAACAGGTCAGATTATATAGGTATGGCGCAATAATGGATTATCATTCATCATGAAAGGAAAAAGAACATTTAAAATCTGCGGGTTCCTAGACCTTACTTTCTGAGCAATAGGTCAAATGTGGCAACGGCTACGTGCTGTTTTTTGACTGCTATGAGGATTTCTATTGGGCTTCACCCATCAAAAATGAATCCAATTGGATTTGAGTGATGGCCAAAGCCGTTCTCCAACTGCAAGCACATGGATTGGCTTTGAAGAGCATTACGTGAGTTGTGGAAAAAAAAAAAATATATATATATAATCCCTAGACTTCCAACCACCATTAAATTAATAGGATCACCAAATCAACTACGGATTTTACAGTACAAAACCAGGTGAACCACTTTTTTAATGGTCTTGGAAGTCTAGGGTAATGACTCAATGACTTAGCTAGGCTCAAGTAAACATTATCAGTTCCTTTTGATCGTCTTCCCAGATCCCACCACCTCCCAGCGGCCTCGGCGGCCGCCTCGGTCGCCTGCTCCGCTGCCAGTTCGGCAGCCTCCAGCGCGGCCTGAGGCGGACCCAAACGGCGACCCGTCGCAGAATCTGAATTCACATGTCCCAGACACTGGGAGTCAAAACGACGTGGCACCACACGATGACCAACAGCATCTAGCAAAACCCAGACACGACGATCTAATGGGACTGCCAGGACGGACTGCCGCCCCATTGACCCCTTTGGCACCACCCTGGCCGTTTCTCGGCAGTCCGACATGGCAGTCCCAGACTGGTTGTGTCTGGGTTTTGCGGCGACCGGCACGATTTGGGTGGCGAGAATGGAAGAATGGCGGCCGACCCGCCATGGAAAGTCACAGCGATCCTTTCGGTGGCTGTAGCGCCGCTGTCGGATCAAGGTGGCACGGGATTTGACGGCTGTGACTTGTAAAGCCTCAGATGGTACGGTGGTAGGGATACCCACGGGAGAGGCTTTCACTGAAAGAGAAAAGCCTCAGCCTTTCACGGAAAAAGCCTCCCCTTCAGTCCCCTTGAGTCCCGCCGTCGAAGCCTTGCCCACATGGTTCCACTGAAAGTAACCCGAAGGAAAAGGCCCACGAAACATCAGTCGTGCTTTGTGATTTGTCTTCCAACTATGCAAAATGTCTGCCTTTGAAACTTTGGTTGGTTTTATATATAGATGAAAAGGCATCCAAGTTTGCACAGTTGGAAGGTGCATGAAGATCCAGGTATGGTGTGGCCGGTGTCACAGCACCACCACCGGTCAGACCCAGGCTAAGAGCGGAGAACGACAGGCGCGGGCGCTGCTCCCCGGGGCGGAAAGCAACGGTGTACGGACCGACGGTGCCTCAGCAGCCCTCAGGGCGGCTTCTGCTGCAGATTCCTCAGGCAAAGCCTGGCGCCACATGCCGTGGTTTAGGAAGGCGAGGACGACTTGTCGAAGGGGCGGTGTGTTGCTATTTGGGCATTTAATTTGGAAGCGTAGTTCTCATCTCTAGGCTGGAACTTGACTGGGTCTAGAGACGCCCATGGCCAACCAGTCTAACCAATCCTCCACTACTCGAAGGAGAGTCGTAGTCAAACAGAATCAATCTTGAAACTCTCAAAAGGATAGGGCCAATAAGAAGAATTAAAACGAAATGCCTGACCTTTTCATTAACCATTACTTCAATTGCCATATGGAAAAAATAAGATGAAGAACTATCCATATGGCCTATACTCAAATAATCCAAATATTTATATGGGAAATGAAGAACCTCTATGCTAGCCGGGGGGCCCTAGGGGAGTCCTCAGAAATCACTCCACTCCGCTCAGCGCTTTAGCCTCATGCAGTACGTACACTGTCAGGAACTCACATGGTGACGTGCATCGCATGGCCCGTTTGAAAGAACACTTTTGCCTCATACCAAACAGAAAGTCTTCCAGTTCCATGTGAATTCCAGAGAGAGGCCATTGCTAGAAGGTTGGAGGCCATCGCTACTAGGGTGGAGGCCATCGCCGGCCGTTGCTGGTAGGTTGGAGGCCGTTGCTGGTAGGTTGGAGGACATCGCTATTAGTCAAGAGTCTACAGCAAACTCCCAATAAACACATCAGAAGCAAACGGATCTGTCTCCAAGTGACAAGACCTTGAAGTTTAGATTCCCATCTGCTGTTCCTGTTGCTATATTCCCATCTGGATTCGGGGATTCCCTTAGATTTGAGACACTGCCCAACTCGCCAGCCACGCATTCTTTTCCAAAGAGCATCTGGTCTGCTACGCTGCTACAAATCAGGGTGGGTCCCCAACCCCTGCGGCGCTCACAGGGGTCTGGACATGACATAAGTAAGAACTCATGTTCAAGCGTTTGGCATCTACATGTCTACATGTGCCTTTTCATCCCTCGCCCCCGGGGGGGACATCCACCCTTCTATCTATTCTGTTCAACAACCCTTGAGGTTGGACATCCTTCAAACACCGCCCACCGGCACGGGCAGCCGAGCACACCGCAGCTCCGCTCGCTCGCGCCGCTCGCGCCGGAGCTCCGCTCGGCCCTTCTTCGGGTCAGACTTCATCGATCCAACGTGTCCGGCGGCCGGCCACCCATTCCCCCTGGCGCCGCGTGCCGCCCAGCCCCGCGTCCGGGCCGCTGATCCAACCGTGGCCGTGCTGCTTGCCATTCCTCTTGGGAGAGAGAGGTTGCGCAGGTCGAGGGATGAGGCGAGGAAGAACGAAGGGAAGACACATCGGAAAGCTCTGGTTTTTTGGAGCTGGCCCCCCCAAAGCTCTTGTGAGTGTTCTGTGGATTTCCTCGCAAAAACCATAGTTGGGTACCGGTAACATGGATGGCAGACGGGTAGGTGAAGGAATGTGACATGCGCCAAAGGAGCAAAACTGATTCAAAGGGCCTTTGGCAGGTCGGCTGGCAATCAAAAACCCGCGAGATGGAGACCCGTGGCTCCGAAATCGTTCCCTCATGAGTGCCAGCTGGATAAGGATCAGTAAAATCAAGTGACAACAACTTGCACCTGGAACCCCAGTCCCAACCAGAAAGAAATGGATGTTTCCCCAAACAACCATTTCCTATGTAAAGGATTTCAAGCAAGCCATATTGGAACAACCAGACTTCTTTCTGGAAGGGACTGCGGTTCCAGGCAGAGAGGAAAGCAGCCATGCTAGCTGTTGGCCTCCACTTCTTGTCCACGCGAAACCACCGAGACCGATCCAATCCCCATCCCTCCTCCACTGACCATCATATTCCCGCCCATCAGGCCATCGGAAGACGCCATGGCCGTGCTTGATGTCGTGGAGGTAGCAGCCCTCATAGACGCGCCCATCCGGCCAGCGGAACCTCCCCGCGCCGTGCATGCGGTTCCCTTCCCACTGGCCCTCGTAGCAGCGTCCATCGCCCCAGGTGTACGTTCCTTGGCCATGGATGTCATTGTTCCTCGGCACTGGATGCGTGTGAAGACGGTGCTGCACCTCTCCACCAACGATCCGTTTGGTGCCGGGTGACCAACTCGATGCACCCCCCCCGCGTTCTCTTGTCCTGCTTGGGCTGCCAAGACAGGCGTTCACTTGGAGAACTATCTTGTAAAAAGGTGCTTTGGAGCAACTTGTCAATACCCTACAAGTCCAGTCTGACCCAGTAAAACCTGGTCAGTTCCATTCAGTTCCTGACCTTCTTGAATACAGTAGTGTTTTTGTATGACCACTCTCCGTCAGTCTTTCAAGGTCAGTTCCGTGACCCACACGTACGTAGGGATAACTATAGTGGATTGAGAGGACCAATGGCACAGACCCCAAGGTCGGTGGTTGAAAAAGAACCTCCATGTTTTCAGGACATCGGTTTCGGTCTGTGCCATCGAGCCTCTGAAACGACATAACAAGCCCCACTCTCCGGTCCCAGCTTCAAGAACTCTCCGTCGTACGTGGAGCCATCGGCCCACGAGAAATAGCCCGGGCCGTGCTTCTTCCCGGACGCATAGTTCCCCTCGTAGCGTGCACCATCTGCCCAAAGCTCGATGCCGTGGCCGTGTTGCCGGTCGTGTTCCCAGTGACCTGAAGAGAAGCGTCCAATGGCGGCCATTGCGGCCTCCAAGCTAATAGCGATGGGCTCCAAGCTACAGTATCCTACAGTAATAGTGATGATGGCCTCCATCCAACCCATGAAAAGATGGTTCTTTTGTTCATGGCACCAGGATACCGTCCAACCCTTCACCGACCGTAGGTCAGGTCGTTCACTTCAGGTCATGCTGGACTGCTCGGGGCTCCAGGTGGCACCCATCCCCAAAAGGATGGCATCATTCGCAGTGGAAAGACCAAGGGGTGAAACATACGTCTCTCATTTGAGCTGCTTGATCTCCTCAATTTGAGCTGCTTCCATCCATCTTTCTCTTAGAACAAACCTAACCTCCTCATGGTCAAACCAAGAGAGGTTAAGTGACCTTATAGGCCCTACTGGGGTACCTATGGGCCAATGGGATAGTCGAACTAGGTGTCTTCAACCTCTGTTGGAAAGGACCAAAAGACCACGATATGTAGAGCTCCAACGTGGAGCCTCGACGAATCAGGATTCAAACATTTGCAGCTTCGAGATGTGCAACGTGGACAATCAACGTGGACATCCTCTGAACGTCGACCTCAACGGCTGAAACTTCACCCGTCGAACCATCAACTTGGGATCCGGTGCATTAATGCAGGTACTATTGCTCCCAGATGAAAAAGGTCCTTGTACCAGCATCTGACTTCACAGCTCACCCATGCTTCGACCTGGCTGTTAGGGTCCAACGGTCCCCTCTTCAGGGTCCAACCCTGGCAATGAGGACGCTCCTATGACGCTCCTCTCAAAAGACCCTTCTCCCCCCCCCACCCTCTCCGACTCCAACCAACCCCCCAGCTTCTCTCCATACTCGACCACTCGACCTTCGTATTGAGAGCCATCGGAGTGATGATACGTCCCTTGGCCGTGCGCCGTGTCCGCCACCCACTCGCCCTCGTAGACATCGCCATCGGCGTGGGCGAAGCGGCCCCAGCCCTGCGCTTTGTCCGCCTTCCAGTTCCCCTCGTACCGGGCGCCATCGGGCCAGACCTGCGGGTCGCGGAGTGGGCCAAAAAACATGGAAAATGGACGGCCAGCCAGGGGAGTGGCTGGTTGATAAGGGAAAACCCGTGACCGCTCTGTAGAATAACCACTTCTGAAATGGATGTTTCCCTAAACAGCCCCGTTGATGCCAAGAATCAAGACTCTCCAATCGTGAAACCAAAAGAAGAACGCGAAACACCCTTGTTCGTCCTCCGTTCAAGCTTGGCACGCCCTTGTCGCAGTACCCTTCCTTTGACGGGGAAAAAAAAAAACGATCCCTGGACACTGGACACCCGAAGAATAGCGTTGATCCGCCTCACTACATCCACTGACGAAAGGATGAATCAAAGGCACCCAGGTTGGATCCCGACGGACTGGTCCATGTTCCTTACCTTCCGAACCAATCCGAACGCGGGGGGATGGTTATTTAATGCATGGTCTCCCGATGTTCATACACACCCATTCAAAGTCCAATTGGACGATTTTCGGGACCACCGGTCTGGTTTCAGGACATTCCTTCACCTGGTTGGACCATTTTTGAACATGGCCAACTGGACTTTGAGGAAATTCTATAGCCGTTGGACGATTCTGGTGACTGCGGGAGAAAAGATAGTCATCAACAGGAAAAACCGGCTACAGGTCTCTACCCCCCCAACCATATCTTCTTCCACACCTCCAACTCTTCTTTTCCCGCCAGTACCTGGACGCCGTAGCCTTCGCGCTGCTGCCCGGACCAGTGCCCCGTGTAGGCGGCGCCATTCTCAAAGACGTAGGTTGGCCGCTCCTCTAAGTCATTCCTGCAGATTTGTGCCCCAAAAACCCACCCGCTGATTTGGGGTGGGGCCCGGCTGGGGCTGTGTCCGGACTGTGTCTAACAAAAAACAGCATGTTCCGCTGCAGCCTTTAGCAGCATCCAGCATGTGTGCAAGGTTTCTCCCTGCAACGGCCCATGAAAGTGGACCAAAGCCCCAGAAAGGTCTCTCAAAGACCGAACATGTGATTTTCCACGCGTGGGCCGACCCACACGTGCCGTGCCTCCCATTGAGGGAAAGTGGAAGCCCAACCTCCTTGGCCTCGAATCCAGCAGTGTCGCTGTCTTGGCAGCAACCGTTGTTACATGAGGCGCCCATGGAGAACCCTCTTCAGGCACTTGAGCAAAGGCGGCGGCCACTACCGGATCGCTCGGGCGATCGAATCAGCCAGGCTGCTTGAGGAAACGCTCCTGTTCCTTTAACGGTTTAACGCATCATCGTCATCATCATGACCATCATCTTCATCTTCTACCCTTCCAAAAGACCACCAAAAACAAAGAGTACAGACCCACCACTCTCCTCCTCCGCCGCCCTCCCCGACGCCTTCTCTCGCTCCTCGAAGGGCGGCAGTGCATCGTCCACGCTCCCCGCGCGGCTGGGCGCGTCGGTGAGCGGCGCGCGGCTGGGCGCGTCGTCCAGCTGGTCAGCCTCCGCGAGGACGTCGGTGGGCTCCACCGGGGGAGCCCAAGGCACCGAAGCAAAGCACCTGGCGACAAGGGGGAAAGCAGCACCTTCGCATCACCATCCGAGATGGCAGGGGTGACTGAGATCCCCAGGGTTTGTCTTTGATGATGGACTTGGAAAAAAACCATAGAAAGTACCATGAAGTGGTACTTCGAAGGTCAAAGCAACCTCGCCACCAAAAATGCACTCTGAACCATACTGCAAAGAGGCTTTGACCCACCACTTCACCACACCCTTCCTGGTCAGAAGTCCCAGCACAACCAGTTTTCCCCGGTTGGTCATGCGCAAAAGAACGCGTCTCCGTCCAACACGCCTAGCTCGCTTGGACCGCCAGTCACACCTCGGTTGGGGCCAGGCAGCTGCCGTGGGCCAACACGGCCAGGCGTGACAGCGATGTGGTCAACAGGTGCCAGTGGGGAGCGCTTTGGGAACTTCCAGACCCTGGATGAGAACCCGCCCCCTGAAAAGACCTCCCAAAATGGGAAAAGCACAGAAGTCAGTTTGTCAAAAACATCGACCACAAAAACGGTGGTAGCGTCGAATATCAGTCTCATGTGTGTTGGAAATAGCTCCTTGGCCCAAAATTGGTGATCCATATTTTTTGGGGGGGGGGGGACACCATTCTTGAAAGCTCGGGATCTATCTCTCTCCTCTCTCTCTCTCTCTCTCTCCTGCTGAGACACGCCCAAATGACTTCTTCGACTCGTTTCCGGGAAAAGCTATTTCTGCCAAACACGCTCCTCCTCGGTGACCCCGTCACGTCTTCTAAAGGATCTTGTGTTGGCGAAAAAAATAGAAAGACAGGAGCCACACGAAGAAGGTGGATGTGAGTGTCAAATATACTGAACCTCAAAAGAAGCCACACTTGCAATGTGCTTGTTGCCTTTGCTGTAACTGGAGACCTGCCCCATGACCAGGAAACCCGGTATGCCAGAAGTGCCTTCTGCAAAATCTACCGACAGCTCAAAACACCCAGAAAGTAGTTTATATACCATACATAGTATACCTTGATCAAGATCTTCCAGCTATGCAAAAAGGTCGTCCAAAAATTGGTGCGTTGGTTTAGAAAGGAGCTCAACCGGTTGCATTCACCATCTGCTAGCCGGTTCTTCTGCTCCTTGCTTCTTGCTGACCATAGGTCACCCTTCTGCTCCACCCTGACCCCGAACCAACGTGCCCCCGCCCGACACCCGGTCCCGCCACGTGGCCAAGCGCCGAAGAAGGACTCGAAGGTCAGATCCTGAACGGAGACAAAGGCACGGGGGGGTGACCATGGGAAACCACCCGCACGCGACAAACACAGAACAGATCACAACTCAGACTCACGCATGTGAGCGGAGACTGGAGGAGGTCTGGAGACGCTTTGTTTGGATCCTGTCACCACTTCTAAGCCCTGAGGTATCCCCCAAAGAACGATGCATTTTTGGTTGAGACCCTACCATGGAGCCCATCGAAGTGATGATCTCAGAGGTTGGAAACCTCTGTGGGCCATCCGATTCATCGACCAGGTGGCGCTGTGCTGAGCTTGCTTGGGCGACGCTGCGACCGCTCCGAAGGGGACCCAATCCAATCAGGTGGTGTGACCAGGTCACGCCGACAGCTGAGAGGTGGGTGATATACCTAGCGCTTCCACGCAATGACTGTCCAGCCAGGTGAGGAAAAAAAGCAGCCCTGCGTTGGGCGTGAAGTCTGACGCTGGGTTCAAAGGTGTGTTACTGGTGTGTAAGTGGACGGTAGGGGCATACTCGAGGGGCATGGCCTTTTAATGGAACCGTTGGCTTTCAAAAAATCGGGTGGACGGTAGATACGACAACAAAAGCCACACGAGCGACGATCGCGATGGTTCAGCATGGAACACTCCGGCATCCAGCAATAAGTGGAATCGATGTGTGGAGTCAATTGACTCACTTGTAGATATTGAGTGCCTTTGCACTCCTTCCGAAGCCCAAAATCCCCCAAATCAACCAATCAGGTGTTGTTTTCCCATATGTTCCCCTACTTCATACCAAAGTATGCTTCTCTACAACTTCACCCAAGGTGATTGCTCCCCTTTGAAAAAAGTGCTTCATCACGCAAACATGATGGTTCAGTCCTTCTGAAGAAAGCTACACGCGCGTGCTTCCGCCTCTTCATCCTCGTTCATCTCCTCCGGACAGCTGATGTTTCTTTCTGAGAAAAACAAAACACGTGGAACTTCCTCGCAGCGCATTACACCTCGGCGTTGCACAAGGTTTGAACTCAAGTGTGACAACCGGGCGCGTCAACTGGTCGCGACCAACGAACGACTTCCTGTGACACGCAAACTCTGATCCAGTTCCAAACGCAACACATCGGGCGCTTTGCCCGGCGCTCCACCAGTCAGTGCCTTCGAAAAAGCATCCTCCTCCCGTTCTTCCCCACACATCAGATCCAGCTCAACCAAACCCATCCGACTCGGGCGGAGGAGCACTCACACGGTCCCTCCGCGCCTTCCTCTTGCCGCCCAGGGCCTTGTAGCCCTTCTCGCCGGGCACCTGGGTGCGCCGAAGCGCCCAAACGCATGGATGTCATGGTCTCCCAAAACGGCTTTCCGGTCGGATCTTCCCCCTTTTTTTAACATAAGAAACACCTCAAAACTCAGTTCAAACGGTGGCATGTGCTTTTTTCAATCAATTCACCGAAAAAAACGAAACAAAAATCCAACCGCCCTGATGGTCGTCAGGTCAACCAGACTCAGATTACCCCAACCACCAATCTGGACACCAACCTCACCTGCACTTTGTTCCCCACTGCGCCCCGTTCCCTGGTTTCTCACCCAGCAACCCATCGCCGATTTTCACAAAGCTAGAGCCTGATGTGAAGATCCAGCTTTGGGTAAACTTGATGCAGCTTGATGTAACTTGTTCCAGGATGATCATTCTCCCCAGGCGCGTCTTGTCTTGTTTCGCTCGATCTTTTTGGCGATTCGGGTCGATGCACATGTTGGAAATCACGAGTTCGAGTGGTCCTCCAACTCTCTCGAAACAAACAAAAACACCCTCTCCGTGACTTCGTGCTTCCTCTGCACCCGGCAGCCGCATATTCTACTGCTTAACTGATGCCTTTGCAGGTGAGTGATGGACAGCGGGGGAGGGGGAGGTTCGGAAGCTCGGATGCCAGAGGGAGTCCGCCCCAAACCAGAGATGTTCTCCAACTCCTGGAAGTCCAGGAAAATGACTCAAAGTAGATGTGTATAAGATTGTAGAAGTAGTGGTGGACCATTGTGACTTCGGGGTAGAGATCAAGTTCGTCCAGTTCCAGAAGTGCTGGGAATCCTCATGTGATTCATGGCATTTCATTGGGGAAAGTTCCCAACCAATGGCTAGACTATGGTGGCTTCTCTCTCGCCTTCCCCCCTGTTCTAAGGCACGCCCATGTCTTTCAGCCTCCCGAGCGACGCCTCCGCCGTCCCTGAGGAGCCCCCACTCCACGGTGCCCGCGTTGGTCGTTGCGCGTCACGAAGCCGCACCTCGGAGCAGCGGCGTCGGATCTCCGAAGGGACAAAAAACGGCCCGATAAGACCCGTGCAACGACCTCTGGGTTTTCTAGGAACAAACATCCCGTACCAACCCATGGTTGTTTCGCTGACGCAAGTACCATGGTGGGCAAGGAATGCCAGGGATTAGACTTTGACCGAAACTTGCGTTTGGGAGATTGGGTGGTGGTGCCGCTGCGGTGTGACGCTGCTCGATGTGCGGCCGTCTGCGCTTTGGAGCTTGGGTGGTGGTGCCGCTGGAGGGCGCTGCAGAGTGTCTATTGCTATCTGGGGTCTATGCTGGCGTAGATTGACCTCCTGGTCAGCTGAAATCCTTTTTGGCGTGGTTTTATGTAACCAGGTGTTTCTCTGACCAAGTGCGTCAAGCCCCAGAAGTTCTGGGAACCAAAAATCCAGGAACCAGTCGTGGGCTGCAATCCAAACTCGTGACCAGTGGCGTTCGCGACCTCTTTTGACACCATGGTTTCGTGGAGGAACCCGCGGAGGCCCTCGTGACATCGAGAAAAATCGGCCCTCCCGCACCAGCACCCAAGCTCCCAAGCCAGCCGCACCGCAAGCGCACACAGCAGCGGCACCCTGCAGCAGCACCAGCACCCAGGCTCGAAAACGCAAACACGCAGCTCTTCCTATACTATACTTGAAGTAGAACCCCAATAGCTCACGACGCTCTCTGGGGAACAATGGAAGAGTTGGGAACTACAAGTCAAACAAGACTCCTTTTGGGACCACCGAAGTAACGGGAATTCCCTTTTGCGGTACCTAAAGAAAAATGTTAGATATATTTTAAGAATGGTTTTGGAGATTTATTGAGAAGCTTTCTGCCCAACACACCCCAAACACACCAAAAACCGCTCCAGGACCTGCAATGCACCATGTGTGCCCCAAAAGAGGCAGGCCCACAATCCCAGGTGTTCTCGTCAACCCTGATGATTTATTTCAACAACTCGGCCGACCCTGGGTCTTCTCGGCTGATCAATCCGAGAATCTGCCACCCTTGGACTAGGTCCAGCTGTCATCTTCTGTCTAGATCCCTGACTCGCAAGCACCACCTGAAAACATCTTCACCACTCTGCAGGGGAAACAAATAGATGAAAAGAAACACCCGGTCCCGGCACCACCGGTCTGACCTCGACCGTCCCCCACCGGTGACAGTCACCACCAGGTTACCCGGAGCCAGCCACCCACAGCGAGCTGGGGGTCCCCGGCGACTTGGGCTTGCCGGGCTTGTAGCTCTCCTTGCCGGTCCTCATAGGGTCGGACACCCCTCGGACCCCCTGGACGGACGACCGCGCGAGAGACGCTCCGGAACCGGCGGGTCGAAGAGTCAAGGGGTCCGGAACCGGGCGGCCTAAGACCGAAAGACCCATTGGGCGACTGACATCACAAAGGGTTCCTCAGTCGGCGACTGACATCACAAAGGAACTTCCATGTGACGAGCAGGCGACTGACATCACTTAGTCGATCTGTTCAGACCGAAGAAGACTCTTAGTAATCCCCTGAAGAGACCGAAGGACCCATTTTGGCTTAAAGGAATGTTGCACGACAAGACCAACCAAACTCTTGGTCGAAATGGAATACTAGTTACGAGCTCAACAATGCCATGAGAAGTCTCGCAAAACGGTGCGATGTCTACAAGGTCTTGCAGGTTGAGGGGGATGATTGGATTGCTTCAGGGTTTTTCTAAGGATGCGACATGTGACATGTGACCTGACCAGGACCTGAATGGTTCACTTACAGCGTCTCGGAATGAGATCACAAGATGAAGCCAATGAAGCCTCTGTCAAGAGTCGGGTAATTATGTTGGAAACATCTTCGTTTGGGTTTCTCCAAATCCTCTGGAAAAACCTCCAGGGCGAACTCCTGCACTCCCGCAGTGGAACAGCGTGGTATTTCACCCCAGTGTCCCTGCTGGGTGTTCAGGAGAAGGTGCTTGAAGGCTTGAAAATGACGGCACGTCAAGAATGCCCGAAGTTGATCAATGGCCCTCTACCAGGACCTCAACACAAGGGGTGTCATGGGGTGTCTAATAGCGTCTGCCTCCTAGAGGTGATTCGGAACGTCCAAGAACTAGTGGGCTTGGAAGATCCTGGTAGTATTGGACAGTCTGTTGATGAGTCTTCTCCGTGAGCATCACCTGCTTCCTTCCCTCCATTTGAGCAGCTCATCGAACACCCAACACGACCGGCAGGACCGGAGCTCGCTGGCTCGCCGCCACAGCGTCCTCACGTTGTACTTTTGTTCCACCACGAAGCCTCCTTCCTGGGAGCTTCTTCAGAGCCACAGGAGGGTTTTGGGGGGGGGGCCCGTTTCAGTGGATCCAAGGCCGAGATGTTGAAAGGAACCCGGCAGCCTTCAGGGACCCAAGAGATCCACCTGTGGGTTCAGTGAAGTCTCGGAGCAGCCACCGAACGTACACGAAACCAGCGTGGGTTCGTGGGTAATTAAAGCAGTTGACGGACATCTATCCGACGAACACATGGAAGTGGAGTTCACCTCCTGTTTGTAAAGGAAAGTCGTCTTCCAAGGGACCATGCCATCCACTTCCATGTGATGTGTTCGTCAGAGAGTACCGCATATACTTCGGTGAGTCGAAAGTGAGTCGAAAGGCTCTGGTGCGCGAGAAGCTCCTATTCCTCACGTGAACTCTTCGCTGGAAGACCACGTTCCTCGTTCAAAAGCTGGCTTTCCGTCCTCAAACCCGACGAACAACATGACACACAATGCCACCATGGATATTTGGGTCCAAAGGACTCGGATGTGCCTGGAAGGTCAGAGAAAAAGGCAACCCTTATAGAAGTAGATCGAGCTGTTTGAGCATCCCCCCATCTTCAAAAACCTCCGCATCCATCCATCCATCCATCCATCCATCCAGCCAGCCAGCCAGCCAACCAACCATAACCACCCATAACCACCCACTTCCTCACGTCGGCTCGCCCCCGCCACTCGCCCCCGCCACTCGCCCCGCCACTCGCTCCGCCACTCGCTCCCTCTCTCTCGGCGCCTTGTAGTGGCAGAGGTGCCTCGAGGTGCCAAAGTTCATGTCCACGACCTGGGCGGCCCGAAAAAGGCAGAGGACCCGAGGGACGGCGGCAAAGGCGGCGAGTCACGGGCGCGGGTCAAGGGCGGCGAGTCGTCACGGGCGCCCCAAGGTGGGCGGAGCGTCGAACGACGCACGTGCGCCTCTAAAGGCGCGGTTAAGCGTGTGAACAAGGAAGCGTCCGCGTGATCCGATAAGGATGATTGATGCTCTCTGATGCGCATAACAAGCCGGTGATGAACGTCGCTTGGTTTCTCTGGTAGTTGTTGGAGCCTCGGTCCAAGCAATCATTGGCGGCTGCTAGTGGGAACTGCTAGTGGGGGCCGTCGTCATCCCTTTTACCCCTCGTCATTCTCCAAACTCCTAGGAACCTCAGAAGCATGAACTGTCCACCTCTGTTTCGGCATCTAGTCCTCGCCCAGAGTGGTGGGTCACCACTCAGATCACTCTCGCTCACCCGAACACAGAGCGAAGCGACCCTTGAAACTCCTTTTTCCCCAGGCTCTCCAATTGGAAAGGCTTTGGGAGACCCGACCTTGGACCGACCCTGAAGACTCTGTTTGGGGTCGTCCAGCCGTCCGACCAGACGTCGGCCGTTCGACGATGCAGACGTCGGACGGAGCGCCGGAGCGCCGGCCGGGCGCTTCTGGGTGCGCGGCATCGGGGTTGTTCGCCAAGACCTCCCAGGTCCTCAGCACCGGACGGGCGGGCGGAGGCTCCCAGCTGAGGTGAAGGCTGCAGGCTGCTTGTGTGAGGCCACTTTCCGACATGGAAGAGAAGGGAAGGGGGAGGAGAAAGAAAGGAACTTCCCAGAAAACTCGACCTGGAGATCAAGGCCACCGGAGTTTCCAAGGTGGAGTCTGAGCCAAGGGTTCTTAAGAACGAACCTTGGGCGAACTAACACCATCCCCTCTGCCCCGATCTGCCATCATCCCCTCGCCGTTGGCAACGAAGGATAGACATAGAAAGCACTAAGAGCAGTGGTTCCAGTTCGGGAAAAAAAAAAAAAAACATTGAAAATTAAACACATAGACATAGAAACCCGCTGGTTCCTTCCTACTCGGGGCTGCTTGGTATCCGGATCCCATAATTGACGCCCGTCCTCCAGAGATGTGAAGGTCCTTCTTCCGACCCGGTTTTTTCTTTGGTCCGTCCGAGCGACCGAGTTCGTCTGCTTGTGAAACGTCGAATCGGCCGTGGAATCGGCTGGATCGATTTGCTGGTTGGTTGGAATCGAAAACGGCTCAGCAAAAACCTGGTCAAACCTCGGCGTTGATCTCAGCCTTTCGTTCGTTGAACATTGATTCATCCAAATGCTCCTTGTCTAGTTTCCAATCAATCATGGATGTTCGTTGAGAACCCAGCACAACCCGGAACACCTCTGAATTATCATCAACTCAAAGTGAACCCTAGGCTTCCTAGCCCACTATTGTTTATTTAAACAAAAATAGACTGAATCCCGAACAACCGTTGTTTCACTAAAAGGAATTTACACAAACACCAGGTTCAACCAGTCGAGGGAGTTCGGCACACAGGTGAACCCTGGAAGTCCAATCGACCATGTTTAAATTGGTTGATCTCGTTTTGTAGTAAAATCCTTGGTAAAACCATAGTTGGGACCGGGATTCGGTCTATGAAATCAATGGCAGGCCACAAATCCTAGGGTTCTAGACCTCGTTGAACGACCACTGGAATTGAGTTTCTTCTTCTCCAACTGAATGTACTTGGGCAAGCCAACCGGGGAACCCTTCATTTTTTGGCCCCAAGGAGAAGCGAAAACAACTTGAGAACTTCCCACCAAAGAAGGAACAAGCAAGAAGGTCTTTTAAAAATACCCAGAGCAATCCCTTCATCTAAGGGCATCCTCGCCTAATCACCTCGTCGCCGACCTTTTTCCCAATACGAACTTCGTTCGCGGCAGCTGCTAATAAGCTAGCTGCAGCATGCTGCAGGGCGATGTCCAAGGACCCCCGGCCCCAGGCACCAAGTGGTGGAGAGCTTCTTGTTCGGAAGAAGCTGAATCCATCCGCTCCTCGGAGGTCCCGGAGCGGCGCAGGCTGAGGTTCGTGTGGGTCGGAGGTTCGTGTGGTCCCGACTGACCTCGCTGAGTACTGGCTTGGCATTTTCCCGGACCCAGTCCTTCAGGTCCTTGCCCGGAAGTAGGGAAGTAGGGAATCCAACCTAAGAAGTAGTGACGTAGTGTAGGGTTGTGTATGGCCAGGTGACCCCAAACGGAAGCAGCCAGTCACCTTCGCCGATCTGGAGAGCTCGGATCCCCAAATGGCCAGTTCAATTGAGAAACACGTGGCTGAGAAGCAAATGTGGCGCCAGCTTGAGATCCTTTACATGGAAAATGGCTGGGACTGGGGAGTCTGCTGCAGAGTCCCCACTGGACATCTGCTTTGGTTTTTCTATGTTTTTCTGATCAATTCTTCGGAGCCTTTCCCGCTGAAGCGGCGAAATGACGAAGGCTGCCATGTCTGGCAGGGCCCAGTCCAGAACAGAGAGAAGCCTTCAAACGGTGTCCTTTCGAGAAACCTCCAAAGGACACCTATGCTTCATGAGCTCGTCAGCCTGTCAAGCTACCCAGCCGTTCGCAAGAACACTCTGCGCTACTTGCATGTCCCCCTCTCCCGTCCGCGCCCCGCGCGCGCGGCCGATTCACCCGAGCGCTTTCTGTCAAGTCGCTTGGTCTTTCCATTGTGGGACCATAGGAAGGTGGTGCTGTCCTTCAACCGACGGAGAAGGGCAGCGCCCGGGTACCCACTGGCGTGAAAGCGGCGGGGAAGGGCAGGCGGGCTTTCGTGGGGCGAAGCGGCTTCGGGTGGCGAGGACGCGCCCCAAAAAACATGACCCTAGGCTTCCAACCACCATGAACTAAGGATTTTGCACTACAAACACCAGGTCAACCATTTGTTGAATGGTCTTGGAAGTCTAGGGTGAGAGCACTAAGACCTGTTGGCCATGTCGGATGCAATATTTTCGTCCAAGTCCTCAGGGTACAGATGTAAGATGATGTGGTTCTTCCGGTGCATGGCAATCTGATCGTGCTGGGGGTGCAAACTTTCGGCCACAAGAAAGACCATCAGAAGACCCACCCAAACAAGAACCACAAAGAAGAAGGAATGAACTATGTTGCCATCCCACAACCAACCGTTCCTCGCGTTCCTCCTCGTGACGGGTGTACACCTTCAGCCCGGCGTTCGCTCGAAACCGAAAAGACGCTCTCCAGCCGCCCCCCCGCGCTCTTCACGCTGCTGGCCATCGTGGCAGCTGCGTCTGGGGCTTCCGGACGTTGCTTCGGCACATGGCCTGCCATCGTGGCCCCAGCAAGGCCTCAGCACCGCTCCGTGGCATGGTGGTGTCGGTGTCGTTCGGTGGCACCGGGCGTGGCCAAGGGTGGGAAAAGAGAGGATCGCGACGCGAAGGGTGGGAATCCAGACATGAAGTTCCTTGAAATCTCAACACTGACTGACTCACTGACTTACTGGGCTTACTTGACTTAAACTTAGTTGCTTGACTTACTTATTTACTTACTTACCTCCTTACTTCCTTGCTTCCTTGCTTCCTTACTTGGTTATTTACTTACTTGCTTGCTTGCTTGCTTACTGACTGACTTACTTACTTACTTCCTTACTTGCTTACTTACATACTTGCTACCCACCTACCCACCCACCCACCTACCTAAGCAACTAGCTAACGAACGAACAAACGAAACTAATAACTTCCTAAATGCCCAAGTGACTAACTATCTCACTATAGTTGATACTAATGGACTAACCAACTAACTAACTCACCAACGACCAACTAACAAAGGTCAAGGACCACTTACCGGTCGCATGAGCGGCTCAGCAGCAGCATCCCGTGCTAAAACCGCACATTCGGATTCGACAGACCGCAGAGGGAGGACAACCAGGTACCATCTGGGGTACCATCTGGGTAGAAATCCATCTTCCCTTCGACAGAAAAGCTTTTGTACCTGTCTATATAGGTACATCTGTCGGAAGCTTTCTAGCAGAAATCCATCTTCCAACAACTGGGCAATTGGATGTATTTTCAATTGGAGATACCCTTTCTCGCCCCTGGCTGGGTCGACTGGTCTAGTTTTCTTCCTGAAAGATTTTTGGGAACAGCGGCCAATGTACCCCAGAACTTCCAAAACTTGACGAACGTTAATGGTCAAAGCAAGAATTGACAACTACTTCTATAGGGTACTGATAATAATTGTATATAGAACTACTTCAAACTAGTCCCTAGCCCACCTGGTCGTCATAGTCCACCACTACCAGTGATAAGGGTAAAACAAGTCAAAATTCCGCACTCTCAGGGATCCAGGTAGCATCTACCGGACTTGTGTCCTTCACGACCGCACATTGGCCGCTGTACTCGAGGTGACGGGAGCCTAGTCGTACTTCAAGATTTGCCTGACAATCCTAGCCGTCCTAGCCCATACCAATCCAGCTTTCAACGCTCCCTTTCGACAAAAGGAACCCCGAAGAAGCCTTGGAGATGGTTTCTGTTTCTTCCTCCCTGCTGCTCCCTAATCCCTACTCCCCTGAATCCTCCTCTCTGTCCCCTTGATTCACCGCACTCTGCTCAAGTCGTTCACTGCTCGGGCTCCCCAGCGATCACCTCCTCCTTCTCTTTGTCCAGTTCCGCCTCGCCGCTCGCGACTCGCGACTCGTCGTCTAGGTCGACACTCCCGGCTCGAAGGGAAAGGCCGCCAGGCTCGGTCCGCGGGTCGCTGCTTGAGAGGTCCGAGGGTCCGGGGGTTCCGGAGCTGGACAGGACCTCGACAGGACGGGGAGGACCTGGTCTGACAAGGCCCAGAGGGGACCAGGTCGTGAAAAGGGGAAGGAAGGCGTGCGTCCTGGAAACTGCTTCAGGTCGGTCGAGTGATGTCGAAGTGGACTTCTATAGGGTTACTGTACCTTGAAAAGCACGGATTGTTGACCCAAGAGATGTGCGTGGGACGAAGAACCCAGTGTCAAGCTCCACCACTGCTCAGTGCCCCACACTCATTCTCAGCGTCAAGAGTCAAGCATCTGTTGGAATCCGTCCGGGAGCAGCTCTCGCGCTGGCGAAGAGCAACTTGAGTCTACCTATGCCAGTTTCGTTCTCTTTGATCAAGCATGTGGACTCCGACGCTTTCCAACTTTGGAGGCCTAACTAGCTGCTTCTGCTTCAGCTGGTCTACGAATGCTTCATGGTGGATCCCGCGTGTTTCTTGATGGAGCATGGTCATCTGGAGCCCCGAGCCGCGTGCGCAGGTTGATGCAGGAATCACATTCTACGAGGCCGGACACCAAGTCAACCACCTCGTTGAGCCTTTGAGAGTCCAGCTTGAAGAATTGTTGGACCGACTGAAGTAGTCTGGAAGCTCCCGTCCCCCAGACCGTTCTTTTTTACCCGTGCGTCAGACCGTTCTGTTGATATGTCTTTGACTGGGATTTGAGCCTTTGAGTCTTGAAAGGACAGGGGTCAAAGAAAGTCCATCCAGAACTTGATGCCCCCGTGTTGTTCGCCTCGACTCGAGAACTCACCATGTGTGTCGCTCTGCCCTCAGCAGGACGAACGACTGTCCGAAGACGTGGCGCAAAGCGAGAGACGTCGATGAAAAAGGAAGAGCCAAGCAGCAACGGCCCTTTTCCATGCAGCTCAGTTCGAGTGGTTGAGAGCGAGAAGGAACAGAATGACCAGCCAGCCCCATCAGATGCATTCAAGGACCAAGAAAACGTCAACAACGGAAGCACCTTCACACCTGGAACATCAAAACCGAAGCCTCCAAACAAACTAACAAACTGACCACATTGTTGGCTGCTCTGGCTGCTCTGGCTGAAATCCATTCTTCCCTCATCCGTCATATTCGCCCTCTTCCTCATCAAATTCACCCTCCTCTTCAGCCGTCGCATCCTGGTACTGCTGATACTCCGAGACCAAGTCGTTCATGTTGGACTCGGCCTCGGTGAACTCCATCTCATCCATGCCTTCACCCGTGTACCAGTGCAAGAAGGCCTCGCGCACGTTCGCGAACGCGAACGCGAACTGCTCCGCGCTGCGGGTTCGCCGCACGTTTCGCCGCGCGCGAACGCGAACGCGGTTGGGTCGCGGAAAAAGAAGGAGGACGTCCCACGATTCAGCGGCTCGAGGCTGGGAAATTTGGGGATGCGTTTTTGACTCGTGCTCGGAAGACGGTCTCGGTCTCGGCGAAGGGGAGAACTCTCGGATCGCGAGATGAAAAGCCTTTACGTTTGGGACGCCCACCTCTGGAAATTCAAGAGGAGCTGGGAGCTCCCATGCAGGAAAACGGAGCGGAAAAGAAGGAATCGAAGCTTGAGGATTTATAGTCTCCATTACCTTCCTATGTTCCTTAAGAAAAAATGGGTGGAGAGAGCCAAACTTTCAGGAACCATGGGAAGCATACTCAAGAAGACGTAAGCAATTCCATCAATCCTCAGGTGGTGCTGGTCGAATGGGGTCACTGTACTGAAATGGTGAAACCCTCAAAGCAAATCCTCCTCCATCTGACCTTCAAATCTCCCATTCCAGGTGACAAAACCTCTACCAGTGGATGATGGTTTAGGTTCCAGGCCTTTCCACCTCAAAAATATCTCTTTTGTCGACTGCCATGGAACCGGCAAAAAAAAAAACCGATGAAACCATACGAGAACCACTCGCTGTAATACGTACTCATAGTGGAGTTCACCACCTGTTTGGCAGCGAGGATTTGATCATCCTTTCAAGGTTCCAGGGAGTGTATTCCCCCAAACTGGGGACCCAAATCAGCAGCTAGGTTCTTTTGGATCCATTTCGGGGCTGACCTGAAGAACCCTTTCGGGAAACCTTCGGGGAAACCGCCGATGCTTGGTCGATGGGCCTTGCGGCGGAACATGGCGGTGAAGTACTCCGCCACGCGCTTGAACATCTCCTGGATGGCGGTGGAATTGCCCGCGAAGGCCACAGCCATCTTCAGTCCTGGCGGCTCCCGCGAAGATGCTTTCGGCCGGAACAGCGCAGAGTGGAACAACGGGACGCCGCCAAGTTTGCTTTCAGGTTTGCCGATCACCCAAACGTGCGTTAACGACCCATCTGCCATGTGCAACGTGTGAAAAGCCAAAAAGATGACTCTTTAGTGGATGACTTCACCAAACACCAAGTTCGACTTGGGCCCCGCTGGTGCCTGCCTTTGGGTGGAATGTCGCAAACAGATGCCTTGATGTTGTTTGGGATCCATTCCACAAAGTAGGACGAGTTCTTGTTTTGCACGTTCAGCATCTGCTCATCCACCTGCGCAGGGAAGCAGAACGAGCCGTCTCGCCACATTCTGAGCACGGAGCACGGAGCCCGGCAAGATCCTATTGAAGTGCTGGTGGGGCAACAATATTCTCGTGAATCAATGGTTCAACAGATGTTCTATTTGTATATATATATATACACATATGGCTGCGGGTCCAAACCTGGAGTGTGAAGCTCCATATCCGTATTTAGATGTACACGCTTCCTATATAGTATGCTGAAGAGTGTTGCATGGAATCAGTACAACCATAAGTACTCCATTCGAGTTGAGCTCCATGGAATTCTCATATGTAAAGGCCAGAACGTGAGAGCCAAGCTCTAGCATTGAAAGCTATGTTTGGCAAGTGCTTTTGCTTGCATTATATACCACCGATAACAGCGCGGGAATGGAAGGGTCATCGTCACTTGAAGAGATCCACAGATCCATTTTCCAGAATTGGGACCCAGAATCAGCGGTTCTGATTTCGACCGATATTGGCTCAAGTGGAAGAGAGCGTGAGCGAGTACAGATGCTCTTCATGGTAGCGGAGCTATGGTTTCTTCAACCGATCCTGGAGCAGCTCCTTCTGTGCTTGCTGTTGAAACTGGGACATCAGTTAGCGTGGAGCAAATCTACGAGTTGGAACAGAAGGATGTGATCTAGCCAACTTAGCTAGAGCCATGCAGGAGACCATTGATTCGTTCACACCTGCATTTGACACCTGGAGGATCCAAGTTGAGGGATCTAGTCTTCGCCCCCACCCTGTCACAGCAAGAGTCGACCCTGTCGAGAAGTGAGCAAACCAACACGGTTGAGGTCCATGCTTTGGCCTTGGATGTTTAGGAGCTAAGACTTCAGAACGCACTACATCCATGTCCCCTAGGCTTCCTGGCCAACCATGAACTTAATAGGCGGGTCATCCCGAATCAACGACAAGGATTTTACACTACAAAAACCAGGTCCTTCCCAGTGTTTCATGCTCGAACGGACGTCTAGGGTGTCCAAAGTGGCAACAGGCGTCCGAAGGTGTTCCATGTCCGCTGGTGCATGGAACCGAGGTTCAGATCGAAGAATCACTGGAAGCGTCGGAGGAAGCACGGTTCAAACTGTCAACATGTCCAGTTCGGAAGCCCGAGAAGTGGAAAACACAAGAAGAGGAAGCTGAAGGGTTCACATCATATGTTCAGGAACTTGCTTCTTGGCCAGGTGAGGAAGACAAGAAATGGCAGAAAGACATTCTGTGGTCACTTCGTAGCCCAGCAGAACTTACACGCAGCCGGATGAGTGTAGCTCAGACTAGTATATAGGTCACGCCGTTTGGGTTCGATCTTGAAGCAATGCTTTTCGGGTCACATGAGAGCCGCTGTGACGGCTTCTAGCCAACTATGAGTTGACACACAATCATGTGAATTGTTGTGGGTCTGCATGCATTCGCTTGCCAGCCAGAGAGTTTGGAGTGAAGACACAAACGGAGCTTTTGCTTTACTTGAACAAACGTGCCAAGCTTGAGCTTGGGCATACAGCTGCATCGGGGACGGTGCGTGAAGTTTAGCAGACTTCGATTGAGTTTCTGTGCGCAATAACTGGTAGCAGTCATAAAGAACACCACAACATGAAGTCACGGAGCCGAATGAGCAGATTGTCATCCTTCTTCGTTTCGTTGCGAAGAATTTCTGAGTCGCAACACATGAAAGACATGCTGAGAAGCATGTGACCTTCCGGGCGGCGGGCGGTAGGAACCGTTGGCAAGATGCGCCTTGCGACAAGACTTGCGTTGGCGTGCTTTCCATCGTTCGGAGGTGCAAAGACACGATCGACACTAATCTAATCGACAAGTGAAGTTCGTCGAAGCTGCGCCAGAGAAGTAACCGAGACTTCGAAAACACACCTTTTGGGTGCACAATGTCGCAGAGATTCGTTCATGGTTCAAGTGTGACAGGAGTGGACACCTCAAGGATGCCGTGATGGAATGGAGTTTTCCACTGTTCCATCAATATTGGTTGTGCCGCGTTCGTGTGGATGGTGTGGCGTTCGAAGGCGAGGTGTCGGTGTTCATCATCACTACACGTTTCAACTAAGGCAGTCTGTGCAAACAGTGCCCCCCACCCCACCTTCTGCGTCCAGAGAAAACAGTTGAATTAAGAATCACGCGTGCTGTTGTTCTCAAAGAAAAAGCAAAGCGAGCGAGAACCAAGAAAAGCGGACCTACAATACTGGATGATTGAGCATGGTTGAACATACCGGCGTCCCTTTGCTCCATACCCTGGCAAATGCAAACCGGGGTCATCTCTTGACAGGAAAGCCACCCCGTCCCTCACCCCCCACCCTCTCCGCACGCACAACAGCACCATTGTGTGAAATGTCTAAAACCACATCCTTTGCATTCCTTTGTGTGGCAGGCACCACGGCAGCGCATCAGCCAGTGGCCCCCAGAAAAGAACCGCCTCCAAAACACTCAGTCCTCCCAAGCTGAGAGCATCTTAATCCGTCTCCATTGCCCCCCAGCAGAACCCAGCGGAAACCACATCAGCGCCTCCTTGGTGGACATGCGGCCGCGGAAGAGCGCGGCGGCCGTCAAGTAGCGCCCGTGGCGCGGATCAGCCGCGCACATCATGTTCTTAGCGTCGAACATTTGCTGCGTCAATTCCTCGAGGCTGGGGATGGGTCGACGGAGTCCATCCACCGCGCGTCGGTGTGCGGACGGCTCGTCTTCTGTGTGTGTGTTAACCCCTGTTTCGAAGGGAACTAACCTATCTATTTTTTTTCGTGTACTCTATTTCGCTGAGTTGCACCTTGTACAGCTGCAGCAGGGGGGCAGTGGACCACTATCACTCACTGCCCAACGAAGACAGTGATAGTTTGGTTGTGATATCCAGAAAGGACGCTTTCTGGACGTACCTGCGCCAATTTTTAACATATCATAAAGAGCTAACGCTTTTGTTCAAACATTCGGTTGTGCTGACGTTTCCCCCTTACGGTTCTGCAAGTCAAGTGCTAAGTATTCACTTAAAGGGCTAATGCGTTTGTTCAAACATTCAGTTGCGATGACTTTTCACTCTTACGGTTCTGCAAGTGAAGTGCTAAGTATTCACTTAAAGGGCTAATGCTCACCGCGAATTGCCTGAAGACAAGCTCCGCGGAGCAACCTTCTCAAGTGTGTTTCGCAGCTTCTTCCCTCTGCGGTAAGCTGTGTGAACAATACGGGGCGCCGTTACCGAGAGAACCTTCTCACTCCTCACCGTGGGAGTAATTTCTATGAATTTTTCTGAAGTTCTACCGACTGAATTTTCCTGTTTGAAATCAGCTTGCTTGAATCGTCTCACCTCGTACACGTGAATTTCACTGCAGAGTTCACTGAAATACTTACTGAATCTCACTGCAGAGTTCACTGAATCATGTTTCACCCGGGAGATGTCTTTACCAATTTTTCAAGTTCCAGTTTCAATTTTTTGACAAAGCGCCGATTCGGCTTCTCGGACAGTGCCTACGGGAAACTGCCGTTCGCTCGCAAGAGCATCCACGGACCTTGAGTCCGCTTACCCTACCCTGCACCCCCTGCACCTTTGCTTGTCTTTCCTTGCCTTTGCGTTTGTCTTGTTCTTTCCTTCAGGCTTTTTAGGTATGATCCAGACTCGTTTAGTCAACGCACGCCCTGCCCCCCCCGGCACCCCCTGCACCTTTCTCTTCTTTCCTTGCCTTTTCGTTTGTCTTGTTCTTTTCTTCAGGCTGGTTAGGTGGCAACCAGGCTCGTTTAGTCAATGCACGCCCGAACACCCCTTCACCCCCTGGCGGAGAAAAAGAAAAAAGAAAAAGAATAAAGAAAAAGAAACGGAAAAACGAGAAAAAAGACAAGGACCAATGACTGAAGTTGCATTAGTTCTAGGTGCGCCGTCTTGTGTGTGTGTTAACCCCTGCTTCGAAGGGAACTAACCTATCCATCTTTTTCTCGTGTACTCTATTTCGCTGAGTTGCACCTTGTACAGCTGCAGCAGGGGGCAGTGGACCACTATCACTCACTGCCCAACGAAGACAGTGATAGTTTGGTTGTGATATCCAGAAAGGACGCTTTCTGGACGTACCTGCGCCAATTTTTAACATATCATAAAGAGCTAACGCTTTTGTTCAAACATTCGGTTGTGCTGACGTTTCACTCTTACGGTTCTGCAAGTCAAGTGCTAAGTATTCACTTAAAGGGCTAATGCGTTTGTTCAAACATTCAGTTGCGCTGACTTTTCACTCTTGCGGTTCTGCAAGTGAAGTGCTAAGTATTCACTTAAAGGGCTAATGCTCACCGCGAATTGCCTGAAGACAAGCTCCGCGGAGCAACCTTCTCAAGTGTGTGTGTGTGTGTGGGTGGGTGCGCGGGGCGTCCGAAGAGAGCTGGAACAAGTTAACTTCGAGTGGTCCCCACCATGACATTTCAATCATTTGCTTTCGTGCAGTGGTGAGGAGCATGTCGCCATGGTCGTGAGATTTGTGGTTTTCGATTTTGTTTGTGGGTCCTCGGGTTTGGGTTTGTTACTTTAGTGCGAGGAAGTTGGCGTCGGGATGCCGCCAGGGCCTCCAGTTGGCATCCAAGACTGCTATCTTGCGACCACCTGCCACGCCAAACAGCACACACAAAGGTAATTATATTGTTGTAGTTGTGTGGTTGCGTGTTTGTGATTGTGTTTGTGGTTTGTCTGTTTGTGTTTGTGTATTGTGGTTGTGTTTTGTTGGTTGTGTATTGTGTCTTGTTTTTGTGGTGATGTTGTGTGGTTGTGTGTTGTGTGTTGTGTGTTGAGGTCCGGTAGTGTACAGTGCAGTCTGGCGCTTGCGGTTGAGGTCCGGTAGTGCCCAGTGTAATCGGGAGCTGGCGGTTGAGAAGGAAGGCGAGCAGGAGGAGGAGGAGGAGGAGGAGCAGGAGGCGGAAGGAGAAGAGCTCTGATAAAATCTAACAACCCTCACCTGGCACGTGACCACGTGTTTCGTCGGAGAGTCACCATGAAAACGATGAAGACTCAAAAAGGACCAACCAAGCAAGCGGAGTTAGTTCTCCAATCAACAGTTGGATACCGTGGAATGAAAACCGACATGTGGTTGGTGAAATTGTGGTCCTCTTACTTTTGGTACCTTCCACCAGCACCAATACATGTGGTCATATGCCTCTGGGTCATGGCAGGAGACCCCTGACCACTGACTACGCAGAACCAGCGAAATGTACCGATGAGACCGATGTGTCAACCGTCGGGCGTACCGATGAGACCAGCAAGTAAACCCGCAGCACGCGGTCCAACAGACCAGAGTCTGGACCCAAAAAAACAATGTAGGCGGGGTTATTAATCAAGAGTCTACATTACTAAAGAACCTGTCACCACCTGTCACCACCTGTCACCACCTTTCACCACCTTTCACCCTGCCCCACCACCACCATCCCTCCTCCTCCCCACTCCTCACGACTCTCTCGCGCTTCGTTTTCCCAAGGCTCGGGCACGGTGAGCGCGCGGTACTGCTGGGAGCCACGCGAGGTCAAGGGCGCGAAGCCGGTCATGAAGAAGTGCAGACGGGGGAAGGGCACCAGGTTCACCTCGGCACCCCACGCGCGGATCGATGCAGACCGGACGGGACAGCTGCGCGGCGAGTCAAGCGCGGAGCCGGGTCGAGACGTGGGGCGCACGGATCAGTGGAGGACAGGCATCGCCACTAGTTGAGGGTCACTGGGAGGAGCCTTTCCGGATCGAGCACACCTCATCTGGGATGTTTTTGTGGCAGAGCTGGGGCCAATACTGGTGCCATATTTCGGACTTCGTTCTTCACAAGTATGGAGGTATCCCGGTATCCCCACAATTCATCAACAATCAACCACGAACAAAGGTTGAAGAACCCGTAGTTCGACTATTCCATAGGTACCCCATCGGTTTTTCGGGTCACTTCACCTCTCTTGGCAACCAATTATAATAGTTAAAAGGCAATCCATGGAATCCATGGCTCCCAATCCCCCAATCCCTTCAGCCCGCCGGCGAGTTCGCCGCCGAGCGGCCGCGATCTTGCGGAGGTCGCAGTTCAGCTGTCCCGGGAAGCGCAGGCAGCAGGTCACGCCGCTCATGGCAGCTGAGACCAAGTGGTTCAGATCACCATAGGTTGGAGTGGTGAGCTTTAAGGTACGGAAACCTCAGCGGGTCCAGCACGGCATCGGGTCAGCACGGCAGCTGAGCAGCAAGGCTGGCTGAAGGGCTGGAACGGCTGGCAGGTGCCACTTGGAGCAAGAAGGTTCAGGTGCCCCTGGTGTGAAGGAAAAACATTCCCAGTTTCTACTGCTTTGTTGAAGTGTATTTGGTCTGTAAAAGCTCGAAGCGACGTCTTTTCGGGCGGGCGAACGGGGCTTTTGGGACCGTCCATTCACACGCAGCGGACCTGAGGCTAGAGGCTTCCAACGTGGTTGGAGTCCAGACTCCAAACAAGCACAGTTGTCCAAACAAGCGGAGCACAAATGCACAGCCCAAGAGCAATGTGGAACCTTAGAGGTCGGTCACCGAGGAAGAGACCTGGGCTGGGCCCAACAACCCTCACCGTTCACGACCTGGCAGTGAGGATACTGGTACAGATTCTAGATGTTGCAAAGTCATCCTGCACTTGAAGGTGACTTTAGGAAGGAACTCATCCTGCCCTGGAATGGTGTTTCCATTCCTATGGTGTTTTTCTTGCTAGATGTGTTTTTTCGATTCCTGGCGTGCCTGGCGGCGCTTCCGGTTCCGGTTGGACGGCTCCCAGCTTCGTTTTTGAGTGGCTGGATCGGTGGTTCTTGCCGCGGGGTGTTCACCCCTTGCAGGAGAAGGCGTTTTTGGGTTACCAGGGACCAGAGCTGACCATGGACATGTAGACATAGGCACTGGTCTTTGGTCACCTGCGTACACTAAGAACGGCCTGTGTACAACAAGCAAGAGTTCTAGTCTACATACAGCACAGCTTCCCCCTTTGCTATGCTACAGGATCCACATGCACCCATTCGTGCGGGGGCTTTGGGTGCACGAAAATACATTAGGAGATGTGACCAAAAGGAAGTGGAGTCAAAAGCCCCAGGCATCTGTGCTGTGGTCTTCCAGGATGTGTGCTGTGCTGACCGGTGAGGGCGAAGCATGGAGTTGCGGAACTGAAGACTCTGTTGGGACCCAAACTATATACCTGGACCCTCCGCCTCCAACAGCTGTTTCCTGGTGACAAGTCCGGTGCCGAAACCACCTGTGGTCGGGTCTCTCAGCAGCCTGTTTGTTGGAGGGTCCTGGTATGGGAAGGCGGCTGGAATTCGACCCGTCTACACCCATTGGTTGGGGGATCTTCCGAACTCAAACCATCCATAATGAACAACACAATATCCAAATTGGAATCATTGCTTTGGGTTGATACATGTTAATACGAAACTGGAGATGTGGAGACTGTACAGCGCGGCACCGGTTGGGCTATGATTACACGTATGCGGCTGGCATTGAAAACCAAAAACGGTTCGAAAACATGGTGTGGCTGTACCCACACAGGATATCAGGCGGTTGTCAAATTTATTTGGCAGCGAACATGACGCGGCGGCTGAGTAAAATCGAAATTCACCAGACCAGTTCAAACTCGGGTCACCAGCGAAAGACCACCAGCATGATGTCGATTGTTTACCTGGGCGCCATCCTTTTGGAAATGCATCAGGACAAAAGGAGGAGTCTCCTTTGCATGGATCGGGATGGCCTTCAGACCCATCTGCAAGAATCCTTCGAAAACCTCTGTCAAGGTCATGGCTGAAGTGACAATATCTGCCAAGAAGTTCCACTGCGGTCTTGGGCGAGTTCGGCCAAATGGGCAAGAGATTTATAGTGGTCCCCAAATAGATAGAAACGCTGTTCAATACATTTTTAGTGGCGATCTACTATCTATCATCTATCTATTTCGGGACCACTATACTCCTTGTCACATACCTCGCTGCTTCGTCGCTGCCGTTGCTGCAAAGATCGGCCACTGCTTCGCTTCGCTGCTCCAACACCCGACTCGCGGCTCCACACCCTCTAAGGTAGACTCTTGATCAAGAGAATACCCCCACTTAAAAAAAGAGGAAACAAACAAACCGTTCTTCAATTCATTTGGGGGACAAACGGTTCCGGTGTTTCAATTCAATTGGGGGGAGGTTATGAATCAAGAGTCTACAACGTCCTCCGCAGGACCTCAACGGGCCTCTCACGTCGCTGCCGCCGCGAACGTCCCTTCGCACGGTGCCTTCGCATCGCTGCACCGAGCGGCTTCAGTCGATGGACGCGTGGGAAGCGACGTGCGCGACGGTACGCTACGGAAAAATCAGAAGAGAAACAACAGCAACAGCAGCAGCAACACGTGAAACCAGAAACAACCACCAACCACCGACAACAATGCAAATGCGGAACACAAGCCAAAAATGCAACACAAAAGAATGACATGGGTCATCGCCTCATCGCCAGAGTGTTGGAGCTCCCTGGTGAAAATCTGTGTCCTGCCATGTCCTGCCTGAAAGCCCACACAGATCTTGGACGAAGGTGCAGAGTGTGGCAAAGCTCCGTCAACGGCGCGGTGTTCTTCGCCAAGACATTCTGAATGGCAATAGGAATGTCTTCACCAAAGCCAATCATTTGAACAACGGACGAACAACTAGGACCTTCAAGTTGTGGCCTCTCCCCGTGTCTGGGCCTCGTGACCCTTGACCGGCCTGGCGGACCCTTCGAATCGGAGGCCTGGCCCGTTCGGTCACTGCCCTTTCGGTCCGACGGAAGACCTTCGTCTCATCGGAAGCCCAGACACGCGAGGTCCCGGCCCCCCCGGACACGAAGAGACCGGCCTCACCCCGACACCCGGTGTCGGCTTCGCGTGGACTTCCAAGGCGTAGGTAGGTAAGGTAAGGTAAGGTAAGATAAGGTTAGGTAAGGTAGGTAGTTGGACACGAAGCTCCGAACCGAAACATCGAAGAAAAACTCCGGGCCCAAGGCGCAGATGTCGTACAAGGCTTCGTTGTCCAACAAGAAGGACTCGTCCGAGTTCTCCACCAGCTGATGAAAGCTCAAAACGGCCTGAGCCGTGCGGTCAGCCGTGAGCCGTGGAGCATGAGCGCCGTGCATGAGGAAGGTAGAGAGGTAGAGGTAGAGAGGAAAAGGTAGAGAGGTAGGGGTTGCTGTTGAGGTCAGTCAGAATCCTGGGAATGTCATTGATTGCGGACGATGCCAGTGTACCAAAAAGTGGCCAGACTTGGGTGCCTCATGACCGTATGTATCTCTAAAAAATCATCCACCAACGAAGAGCAAAAGGCCATCGATGGTTAAGGTTTCAGGAGGGGTGGCTGCGTGGCTTTTTGGAGCCTGATGAGACCCCGAGAGAGGACCACGACATTTGCTGCATTCAGAGGCTTGGGAGCCGGCCCAGGCCCTCTGGCTGGACGGCCCGACAATCCCCAATAGAGAGAGAGAGAGAGGGAGAGGGAGAGGGAGAGCGGGCGGGCGGTCTCAAATGGTATAAATATCTACGGGGGCTTCTTGCTACTAATTAGCGTCCTTGCTCCGTTCGTTCGCGTCCTTACCAACTTGCTACTAGTCGCTGACGTGCTCTAAATACATGATCCATCGATGATTTCGACCCTTTGAGGTGTCACGCTGACCATGAGAAACGGCGCACGCTGCGGACGCCTGCGGACGCTGCAAGCGAGGTGGGCTCGACCCACCTGGGTGCTGTCTGGGTCGCCCAGAGAACTCCGGAACTGAACCTGCCCCTGGAGTGAAACACCCAGCTCCCTCCCTCCGCACCAGTCTAAAAGGAAAATGTTTAAACAAAAACGCTGTTTCGAAGCAACGCGCTTTTTCCACCCCGTTCCAACCACCGTGTTCCCCGTTCCCGGCCTCCCCGGTGTTCCGAAAGAACGGGAACGAGCGTCGCGCGGCGTTTCCAAACGCTTCGACCGTCAGGCGACGTTGTAGGGCTCGACCACGGTGTCCGAGACCTTGGGCGAGGGGATCACGGAGAAGGTCTCCATGATACGATCCGGGTACCTCGGCTCACTCGCGCCGGTGCGGGTCGGTGCGGGGATGGTCTCGGTGCGGTCAGAGGGATTCAGCGAGCGGTCAGCGGGTTTTTGGGAGGGCAGCGAAGAATCCCCGCCACCCGGAGGGTGTTCCGCGGGCGGAAGCGGCATGGGTTTTCATGGTTTGGCTTCGCTGAAACTGCTCAGGACGACTTGGGATGCTCCGGTCCGACTTGGTGTGTTTCAATGATGTGAGTACTTGGTGAACAGTAGAGGGGGGGTGGTTCGGGTACCACATACTTGAGGGATACCTATCAGAAAGGTGCATTTGGGACTCTTCCAGTCATCGAATACCCTCATATCACTTTGGGGATCTGGTCCGGTTTTGGAGGAACAAAGAGCTCCCTGGTTCTTCAAACCCATACACGACTAATGGGACTGCCAGCCGGACTGCCGAGAAACGGCCAGGGGTGGTGCCAGGGGGTCAATGTAGGCATATATGGCATACATGGAGTGTATGGGAAAGGGACCGATCTGGATCTTCCAGGACTTGAGGTCACTTCTATAAGATGGGACTCGTCACTTGGAAGAAAAGAACGTCACCGACGACACCGTGTGCTGCCTGTGCCGCCCGGGTTCTCCTCACGCACTTTGGAGATCAAGAGAGTGCCCATTCCCGCGCCGGTGCCGCCACCCAAGGAGTGGCATAATTGAAAGCCCTGTAGACAATCGCATCCTGAGACATGCGAGAGAGAGAGAGAGAAAACAATTTTGCACAACAGCAGGATGCCAGCTTAGTCCTGGCTGCTGAGATTCACGGAAACCTAAGGGAGAGCAAATCGTCCGTTGTGCATTTCCGGCGCCCAACCAGCGCCCCAAAATGGGCATAGATATCATGGAAGGGCGCCCGGCGCCCGAAGCAAGACGGAGCTGCTGAAGCAAGCCGGTGGCTTCATTTTGGGGGACTCAGATTTGCTTCAATGTATAGTCATTTGCCTTTGATGCAAATCCACTCCAATGTTTCTTGACAGGCTCAACATCCAAAACCACACACTCCGTGGTCGGCCGTGGGCCGTGGGGCCGTCTCTCCTTTGTGCGTTTGCCTCGTGCAGGGAGCCTCGTCCACACGACCCAAACACCAACCCAACACCCGCCCGCGGGCAAGCTCGCTCGCTCGCCCCGGTCGGACTGCTCCGCCGCGGCTCCCTCGGCTTCCTTGCGCACCACATCCAGGACGGAGTCGATCAGCTCGGCTCCCTCGGTGTAGTGCCTCGGGCCCGGGGACGGCACAGAGCGACATCGGGGAGGGGGGTTCCGTCTGGCCCTCAAGGGATGGAGCTTCCCAAACCCTACAAGTCGAAGACCTCATTTTGCTGCAGATGGTCATACAAAACCAGTACTCAAGGAGGTCAAGGACCAGGTTGACGTGTTTCCCGTTGAAGACCAGACTCCAGGGCACCAGTTGGTGCAAGACCAGTGTCCAATTCCAGCGCCCCAGTTCTCCCACATGACTTTCAAAAAACACTCCACCCAACACCCACGTCCGTTCATGTCCAAAAAAATCGACAATCCCAAACTCCTCATCCAGACTTCTTTGGAGTCTCTGTTCGTGACCTTTTAAAACTGGCCTGGCAACGTGGGAAAGTTCAAGCGCTATGCAAACTGAACATATACCTGCCAACTTTTTGGGAGATGCCTGCCGACTTTCCAGGAAATGTAAAAAAACGTCCCCCCCCCCCCCCCTCCTCACCGTTAAATCCACCGTCCATCACCGAGCCGTCTCGCCGTGTGGCCCCTTCGCCCAGTTGTTGCCCGCGCCCGTCTGCCCGAAGACGAAGTTGTCCGGGCGGAAGAGCTGGCCAAAGGGACCGGCTCGCACGCTGTCCATGGTGCCTGGCGCGGTGCGCTCTCCCCCGCGCGGTGCGCTGAGAGCGCGCCTCCATATTTGCTTCACTCACCGGAGGAGGTAATGTTGACCTATGATTAATACAGGGACCCGAAATAAAGTTAGCCAAGTTCCCGCCCTGGTAAATAAACCACGCTAAATAAAGTTATTGCATTGACACAAAAACAAAAAGAATTAAAAACAAAAACAATTCTAATTCAATTTAAATTCTATTCTAACTCAGTTCTAATCCAATTCCAGTTCACTTCTAATTCAATTTCAATTCAAATCAGAATTGAAATCTAATTCAACTTTCATTCATTTCAAATTCAATTCCAATTCAATTTTAATTTAGTTCTAATTCACATTCAATTCCAAACTTGAATTCAAATACAAATTCTAATTCAACTCCACCTCAATTCTAGTTGATTCAATTCTAGCTCAATGTATATTCCACTCTAATTTAACTCTCATGTAATTCTAATTCAATTCCATTTCAATTCTGATTCTATTCTAATTCTAATTCGATTCCAATTCAATTGAATTCAAATTCAGTTCCAATTCAGTTGAATTTAAATTCAAGTCTAGTTCAATTCCATGTCAATTCTAATTCAAATGGAATTCAATTTGAATTCGGTTGCAATTCTAATCCAATTCTATTTCAATCCTAATTCAATTCTAATTCAATACCAATTCAATTGAATATAAACTATTCTGAAGTTCAGTTCTAATTCAGTTCAAATTCAATTCCAAATCAATTGACTTTCAATTCCAATTCAATTCTAACTAATTCAATTCTAATTCAATGTAAATTCTATTCTAATTCAATTCAAATTTAATTCAACATGAATTCTAATTCAATTCAAATTCAATTGAAGTTGAATTTGATATAAATTTAAGTCTAGTTCAATTCTAATTCAATTCAAACTCAACTCAATTAAATGTAGATCTAAAATCAGATCTAAAATTAACTCAAATTCAGTTCTAATTTGAACACTAATTCCCTTTTGTTGTATTATTCATTTTAAGAAGGGATCATTCCATTTCTAGTATAAATTCTCTCTTCCATTTCATTTTAATATTTGTTTTTGCAAGAGATCGTTTCATTTCTGATTGAAATTCTTTCTTGGAACCAGGATTAACTTTAGGGTACACCAAGATTTCAAAATTTGCAACACCCGTTTATTAATCAGAGGTCAACATCAGTAGGTAGTAGGTAATTAGTAGGTATAGCGAGACCCGGGTCCAGCTTTGGCCAGCTGGGCGGGGTTTTGGGGCGCGCTTTCTTTGTTGGGTCTTCGATTGGCATTTGTTTTTTGTGAATCTGCGACGCTGTTCCGAATATGGCGCTTCGCTTTGGAGGCTTGGAGGAAGGTCCCTTTCCTCGCTGGCGCTGGTGGGTTCTGGCTTTCCGGTTCTTGGAATGGTGCTTCTGGTTGTTCTGAGCAAAAAATCCATCCCTAATGAACTGGGTTTCCACACAACCCCTTCTCCCAAAACCGCTTTGCCGAACTCCCCACAGCATGGGTGTTCGCAAGTGGGGGGTCACGGGTTCCGCGAAGCTCACGCGGGGTAGGACAAAAAGATCTTAGAAAAAGGTTTGCATCTTTTTTTGAGTCTACTGAACATGTGTCCTGGTTTGTGCAGGTTTCTTACACGCTGTGACGACGACGGACATTGTCAAAGGGTTCCGGATATCTTCTGACCCGACTGGGAGGTCCGAAATGAAACATCCAAGTAGGCACACTGCGCTGCAAAAAACAAAAAGGAGAACGGTTTTCATGATCCAGGTTCCTTTCCCAAAGCCCCCGACAGTGTCTTGTATTTTGCAGCATCTTACTCGTAAAAACACTGACATTCGGGAAAACAAAAACCACTGCTCCGCCATTTTTCGACATCCAGACGGTCCCTTTGTTTATTGGCTGAACTCAAGCCCCACGCAAAAGTCAAACCTCCACACCTTCTGTGTCCACTTGGTTTTTTGGGCATGCCTACCTGACGTGCTGACACGCGCCCACCTGGCTCAAGATCCATCAACACGGCACGGGGCACGTAACGCCCACCAGTGGCTTCGTTGAAATAGACATTGATACGTTCCTGACATGGCTTCTCTTGTCGAAATATCTTTAGCGAAAGTCACCCAAGCCAAAAAGAAGGCTGAGATGGGAGTGACGAAAGCCACTTTTTCTCGCAGGCAGCTGGAGTCAAAACCACTGGCTCAATTGTTAGTTCGCTTGTTGAGCCCGTCAACGAGACCGCTTCCAAGAACCTATGGCTCTAGCAGGTGAATGGGAAACGCTCCTGGAAAGATTTTGTTACCCTACTCCGACATGAACGAATCAAAAACAAGGCCACTGGTTCAATTGCTCGCTTGTTGAACCAGTCGACGTGGCAAAACAAATGAAAGGACCCAGTCGATGGGTCTCTGCCAAGAACCCATGGCTCTAGCTGTCAGTGTATGAAAGCAACATGAAAGCAGCATCAAAGCATAAATGCAAAGTTAAAGTAGAATGAAAGAAAAGCAAAGCCAAGCCAAGCAAAGCCGCCTTCCTTTCTCAACATTGGCCTTGTTGACGATCTTGGACGGGATACAACTTCGTGATGCAAATGATGTATAATGATGCAATAACCGTTTGCTTTGCATGATCTGCATCTTTGCAAATAAGCCCAAGAAAAATCCCCAACAGCTCAAGGCCCACAGCCGGCAAGTTCCGCAGTTGAAGCGACCAAAAAACCCAGCCCTCGAAAAAAGATGTCCCTCCGCAAACCTGCTCCGGAACCTCCGGAACCTCCGGAACCTGCTCCGGAACCTCCTCCGGAACCTGCTCCGGAACCTGCTCCGGAACCTGCTCCAGAATCTGCTCCGGCTCCGGAACCTGCTCCGGAACCTCCTCCGGAACCTCCTCCGAAGCCTTTTACTATGGCTGAAGACCCCTAGCTTCGCTGTTGAGGAAAAATATAAAATAACTAATTCCTACTATAGGCTATGATACTTTTGGCCGCTCCCCCCACACGCCCATGATTCATGTTGTTCGCAGGAACAACTTCAGCTTAGCCTATCGGCTGGCTTTCGTTATCATAAGTCCATCGATGCGTTCCTCAAAAATCTGTCCACGTGCAAGCCAGAAGAAAAGACCTACCAGCCGTGAACCTTTGATTAATGATGTTCTCATGATGGCTTGTCGTTGGTCCTGCTATTGTCAAAATTGTGACTTTGTTATCTGGGCCCATCCTCGAATTCTTCTACGAACGTACAATGGCAAGGCGACCCCAACGGTGGCAATCATGACAAGGTGTCTGCCCAGACTACAACGCTTTCTTGCCTGCTAGCAGCAAAGCCAAACCCCAGGGACTCAGCTTTGTCCCATCACCAGCTACCACTGGATGACTGGGTCATGAGTCATGATTCCTTCCAAAATCTGGGACTTCTGGCATCTGCCAGGGCTGCCAGGGAGCAAAGCACTCACACGCATCCCTGCAAAACACACCTCTCTGACACCACAAACGTCCAGAATCATCTCTTTTCCAACATCCCAAAACCTCCAGTATACACCCAAAAAGGAAAGATGAAAAGAAGAACCACACAGCCACACCGCCCCACCCTCTGTTCTCCTCTCATTCGCCCGGGTGTCCAGCTGCAAGTCGGAATCGCCATGGTAGGTGCCCGTGGGGTCGATGCCGTGCTCGTCGGCGATGACCTGCGCAGCGACCCGTGGAACGACGGGACCGGCCGGGCACGGACCCGTCACACTGGGCATGATGGGATTCTTCGACCCCTGGCGACCCGTGCGTTCGGGCCCGTCGCACGTCGCACCCGTCGGACGGGCGGTGTCGACCTGCCATGGACCAACCCTTCGGGTCGAACGCCCCCGCCGCTGGCGCGGGTCGAATGGCCGTCTTCCGACTGATCGAAGATGCAGCGGATCGAAGCTCCGACTTCCTCCACTCCCCAGACCCTTGGACCCGTGCCAAGCGTGGGGCACGGACCCGAGTGACGGCAAGCGTGGTCTGTCCGGGCTCCGCCTCCCAGAACTTGGCGCCGATCTGATTGCCGCACTGGCCGCCCTGGACGTGGACGAGCTCACGCATGGCGATGTGGTGCAGACGGCGAAAGGGACACGAAAGGGCGATGTGGAGCTTTGCTCGCGAGAGGAGTCGCTGAAACGTCCAAGCCGAAATGGCCCACGGCACGGAGTGTTTCTCTAGGTTTTCGCAAGATCAAAAGGCATCAAGCCATGCTGTATCACCAAAAAAATGGAGGGGCATTTAAACTGCATCAGGACATATTGACCTTGCATGACTCTTGTGTTTCTTCAAGTTTGGTAGTGAGTCCACCTGTCATTGAGAACCTCTCCAACAATCACAACTGCCCAGACCCTTCAATTGCATAACTTGACTTCGTTTGGCACGCTTTCCTGGACACATTGCACATTAAAGACCTGACTCTGTTGGCGCTGCTGACAATGCTTATGTTACTTTGAGGCATTACCAGCATCGCTGCATGAAATAAATGCGTGAAGACCTGGGCATTCAGCTGGTTGTGCAAGTGCAGCTCTGAGTCTGGGCTGGCCAACCAGACATCAATCAAAGAACTGCAGTCCTGCGTCCTGCCACCCTGTCTTCGTTGGACACTGGGCCTGAACTGGTCTCCACAGCAAGCGACAAGAGCTCGCTGTACCGCCGCCAGTTTTTGCAACAAAAAACTCTCGTATTCCAACTGTCAAAGCGTTCAGTTCAAGGATTTGCCTGTGAATGCTTCGCAAAAAACCAGCCAGGCACAGCCATGAGAATCAGGCTGCAAGGCATGCTGTTTCCCAGATTCTGAAGGACCTAGAACACAACCCGGAAAATTATGAGACAAGGGACATGGATGTGGATGATGAGATTCAGTTGGAGACCCTTGATGACAAGTTCAGAAGATATCAAGGAATTCCATTGGCAGAAGCTAGCGACCCAGAGTTCTTGCAGCGAGCGCATCATTTTACAAACCCATCAGAGACCAGTGAAGAAGAGGATATGTCACGGCCTAGCACTATGGCGGCATCATCGAATGATCGAGTGGAAACATCAGAGCTTTGCATGGAAATGACATTTGTGAGGAAAGCAGTTCAGATCATCTTCACCAGGACCAATCAGAGAACCTATTCATGAAGATGATATCCGAGCAGCAGCAAACGAATCAATGAGGCCTCGAATCACTTACCACAGAAGTGTGCAGCGCGGAGAGACCACCGAGCCAGAAGCAGGGGAAGTGAACTGAGGTTGAGAGATTGTGGAATTCAAGATTTTGACACTTGACATTGTTTGTTGAGTTGAGGCGAGTTTGAATGAATGGTTGGTGTGACAACTGGACACGACGAAAACGCTTGAAAGCGCGTGCAACAACTGAACCACGTGCAAGCGATGAGAATTTGCAGACCTTTGTGCATGGAATGGTAGCTTATGCCGGAAATCGACTCAAAAATTCCTATAGAGAAAGGATTGCTCAGACCTTGTCAGTGCTGCGTACAGGATGCAGATGAGCATTCCAAAAGAAGTGTTTGAAAATGTAAAGCTCGAACACTCGCTTTTCATCTTAGGCGGTTTTTAAGACTTTTCTGAGATTGGTTGCGTGTACTAGTTGATGTGCAGTTTACTAGTTGAAAACTACCCTTTGTACCGTAGCTCGCGCAAGCGTGGGATCAAAAGGCCATGTTCACGCCATCGGAGCATTGAAAGAACACATGTGCCGCGCACGTGGGCATTTCTCGGTCTTCTTTCTGCTGCACGTTGCGTGTTTTCCTACCTTTCGTCTTCTCCCCTCTCTCAAGTTTTTGCCATGACCACAAACATGTGAATAGCACGCACAAACCTAAAATTTACCAAAAGCCTTCGTGTCCCAGAAAGAACTGCGCGGCCATGTTCGCAATGGCGCTCTCCGTTTTTTGGCGGCTGCAATGAACTATCTATGTGATGTTGGTGCGAACAAGTGTTTTGATGGGCCATACATAGTTCAGACTTGAGTCACCAGTGTTTTGAGGTTGTGCCATGTCAGTTCACAATCGGTTGATATTTGTGCAATCCATCGGTGGGGATCAAGGTTTCCACAACCTTTTTGCGAAACTGTTTTGTGATGAACATGTGCCAAGTGCAAAATCTGTTCCTGAACTTGGACAATACATGCACTTTGCAGAAGTAATTCGAGCTGCTTTCGGGGGTGAACTGCTCCGGACATATGGTTATTGTGGCACAAAAATGGTTTGGGAAAACTGTCGCCGGGTGTGGTCGATTGCTGTCTCACAAGGGTCTTCTGAATCCATAAGAAATCGCTCAGGCTCAAGGATGCGCACAAGATGCCAAAACATGTGAAAAACGTGCGGATAGGCTCAAGATAGGTCATCCAGTGGAAATAGATTTGAGTTTGGATCACTTCGATGAAAAAATACGAGAGGGTTTTGGACGGTATAAATAATGGACTTTCAAATGGTTCAACAATGGCCATGCCGACTGACATCGAATGTTTCCATTTTTGACAATGCTGATGGCAACCAAAGTTTTGGTCAATCGTGTTTGGTTAGGTTCCATCTTCGTCCGACCATCAAACCATCCAACCAGTTCGATGGGAACCACCTCAAACCATTCAGTTCGATGGCCTTTTTGTAAGGGCCTTGTGTGGTTAACATCTTTAGAGGCGATACCGGTCGTGAACAAACACCTCCTCATCACATCGGCTTTATGAATTCCCAAGTCATGCGGATTCCGAGCCACTCCACCTCAGAATACGAGCTGCCATGGTGGTGCTGGACGTGCCGGACGTGCCGGACTTGGACTCGGTTGAACCGGGAGCGGTCGCGGCATGACACATCCAACACGGTGTTTTTTGGTGTCTCCTAGATACCCTAGAAGTCAAGATACAATTTTTGGAGCCAAGTCAAGGAAATTCATTTTCGGGTCATTCAAAGACCATTTTCAAAATAGTCTTTGGACTTCCATAAAATCTATATTGTTATTATTATTGTCATTTGTTGTTTTTATTACTAGTATACGTTTACTATTTTGTGTTTAAGTGCCAGAGGTGTTTCTTTCAAAGAATTTACGCCCATCGTCCTAATCAAAATGATCGATATACATAAGAGGTCCAAGTCCAAGTGAAACCTTGAAACTGTGAAACATCCACACCATGAAAAGAATTTACGTACTTGTGGCAGCCGAGTCTCTTCCAAATATCCTTGGGGACATCCCAAATGAACATCAGCGCGTCCGCGCGTAAATACGTGGGGCACTTGGTAGGATTCCGGAGTCCGGATTGCTGGTGCAAAGGAAATATGCATGCCGTCTTTGAACCAAGAAGAGGAGTATGTGGAAAAGCAAGGACAAAGGACTTTCAAATCAACTTTTGAAATTCAACACTCCCTTTGGACATCGTGGATTCATCAAGGATTCATTGGGGGGGAAAAAACACCGGTCTTCGTTGCCGAAACAAATCGTTTTCGCCCGACCGAGAAAAACGGCTCGGGGGGTCCCGTGTTATTTTTGCGTGATGAGGACCCTTAACTTGGAGGTTCTATGTATGTTTTTTTCCCAAACTCCGTTGGTCACAGAATTTATCCATCGAATTTTCTTTAGGCTGCGGATCCATTTCTATATTGCTTTGTCAGTGTGTTTTTTGATTTTTTGTTTTTCGTGCTTCGTGGCAGGTGCAGTACTTTGTGGACCTTGAAGTGCAGATTTCGTGGCAGGTGCAGGACTTTGTGGGTGTTG